CCCCCCCCCCCCCCCCCGACCTAAACCACGACCCCATCCATTACCATCACCAAGGACCAACAGCAGTCCCCACCTCCGGTGTGCGGATGATCTTCCCCATCGACCACATCAACGCCCCGTACACCCTCATGAGCTTCTGCCGGTCCACCTGCATGGTACAAAAGTGCGACAAAACAGCAGAAAAAAATAACCATGAGCGGATCGGCGTGCGGGGGGGGAGGGGCACGTGAACTTGGTTCAGCGCCCGCAATTATCGTTTTCAAAAAGACACAAAAAACACCACACCACAGGACACCGAAATAGTTTTTCGTGGCTGGCCGAAACAAAAAACACGACGATTTGATCGGTTCAGCGCGACATGACATATGCGTAGAAAAAACAAAAAAGATGTTTCGGTTCTTGGTTGGTCTGGCGTCCTGCCCGTACTACAGGTCCGACAATCATCCCCGTTTGCACCATGACTAAGCTGCGTTAAAAGTTCCATCCTCATTATACCCATACGCCTCGTTCTATGTATTTACCAACGAGACGCCTCTTTACAACAACAAAACGCCGGGGGGGGGTTCCAACAACGAAAAGCCTGTTTCCCCAAAACAAAGCATGTTTTCATTCTCAGAACGACACGCTACTTTCCAACAACATGCGGCCTGTTCTCGACGATGAAACCTCTGCTTATCAGTCTTCCCATTACCTGATCGGCTTTGTTTAGTATGACTCTGATCTTGTCATCCTGGCCCTTGAGCCGCTCGATCACCGCCTTGAACTCGTCGCTGATATCCAGCTTGTGCGCGTCGAACAGGAGCAGGATGAGGTCAGCCCTTTCCGCGAACCAGTGGCACACGTTCACGAAGTCGTATCCGCGCGACACCCGCTGCTTCTCTCCCGAGAGCACGCCTGCACCGCCGTTCATGTCGGTGGTGGTGGGACTGGCGTTAAAAAGTGTGGTTCGTGCTCCGATGCAACAAATGGTGGGGACCAGCAAGTCAACCACGAATCCCTACAGTGACTGTTGATGTTTGCATATGGTTTGTGCTCGAATGCGATCTTGTTGTGCCGACCTCTCCGGGCCTTTCGAAAACCCTTGCCCTCTTTTAAGTTCCATAATTCGCCCTTTTCGGGTAGCGGTTGGGCTGTGACGACGGCAGGCTTCTGCGTCAGTTGGATCCGTACGGATGTCGCGAGATGCTGAGTTTTATGACGCGTCTTTTTAGCGTCCAGAGCAGCAGCAACAACAAAAACAACAGAAACAACGACGATCTCAACCCCACGACAACCCACAACACAAACCCACCCGGCGTGTCCACAATCGTAATGTTCCTCAGCACCGGAGAGGGCAGCTGGCTCGCCTCAAACTTGTTCAGGAACGACACTCCGAACCGGTCCAGCCCCCGGTACGGAAGGTTCGGCGAAACCGTCAGAGCGTTCCCGGGAACTACTCTCTCGTCGGACCCGTCCATCACCGCCACGAAACGGTCGGTAGTAGGCTCCGGCCCGATCCGTTGGCCCGGGAAGTCGCGGCCGAGCAGATATCGGATGAACTGCTCGATGCGGCGAAATTTCAAGCGGGGGTCGGAAGATGGGAACAAGAGGAGAACGTCAAATGAGCGCGACGTGGATTTCGAGTACAGTAAATGTGAGTGAATGGTACCCCGAACGCAACGCGCGGTGTCGAGTTTCTGTCTTGTCTTGTCTTGAATGGTATGAACCTCGACAAGAGAGGATAAGGCGCATCCGACGACGACGGCGGCGGCGGCGGTGGCAGTGGCGAGTCCACAAGAGTCGACGTGCCGCACGAAGGATTGCTGCTATTCCCGAGGAGAAGGGCCGTGAACACACGACGAACCATATCGCTAGTTGCACGTGATATTAAAATGCCCGAACACCTCGAAGAGAGAAGCGGTTCCAACGCCGCCACTTTGGGCGCCTCCACTCTTTCTGCAGTTTGTGATCCAAAAAGGGGCGTAGGTATCATATGCAAGTTGCTGTAGCCCCGCAAGCTTCTTTGGTAATGCTTGCGGCCGGCAGCTCTGTCGGTGCTACGTCAAGAACCAGACAAATCACACGCACGCACGCACACAGGAATAGGCCGGAGCACACGGTATTCCACGCAAGATACCAACTCCCCAACAGAATACCACCCCCGGTCAAACAACATTTACCTGCTCAATATGCACTTACGCTGCGAAATTACTCTCAGACCAAGGACCAGAGCCACCGAAGGCACCACACCCGATTAAAGTGTTTTCAAAGCCTAAAAGGTAATGATGAAGGGCGGGGGTGTTCTCTTGTATGGAATGCCGTAGAAAACCTGGGCCAACCCCTACGCCAACAGAGCATTGACTTACCGACGTTTTTCCCGTAGAGTACTGCCCGCACATGAGCACCTGCGGCTTGCTCTCGAACTCGCTATCCGTCAGGGGGGGGGAGTGGAACCATCCGAACATGTACGTCTGCTCGAGTGGCTTAAGCTTGGTGTGGTACAGGCGCTTGAGGCCCTCCACGACTGCCGCCGTGGCCTCGTCTTGATCCGCCATCGACATGTTTCCTAGGTGGTAATGTCGTAGATATCTTAGATTTCCTCAGGCGCCGAGGGTGGCCGCCCGGCCCCGCAGCGCAGTTCCTTGCTTGTGCCCGTCCACGGGGTTGGTGGAATGGGGTTGTCCAATGACTAGAATACCTGCTCGAGAAATTTCGGGGAGTTGGCCAAGATAGATACATCTAAGTGAGCTGTGTTGCAACATGCGCCAACAAGGACACGGAGGCCACCAGCAAAAAAGCGTGGAGGTAACTTACGCCTACCTGTGCATATGTGCGTGCATTCTGTGCGTGCGTCGTTTTCTACGAGGGAGCTCAGATCGCGCCACAATAACCGGTTGGACTCCGCGTGCGAATCTGGTGCTGTTTCACGGTGCGTTGGGCACGTTGGCAAGCATGTGATCGATTTTTCACGTTATACTTGGCGTGCTTCTTCGCCTGGTTTGGCGCTGCTGATTCGTCCGCCGGGGGTGTTGAATACTCGTGCTATGAGGCGGACTTCGAGCTGACGATCGAAACTCAGCGTGTGTGCGCCTACCCAACTGGATGCCAGCGTACCGCCGTACCTCCAGCCAGAGCGGCCTTCGTAGTGCCACTGATGTTTTGGTCCTACATTATACAGCAGTAGCCTACAGGAGTAGCCTACAGCAGTAGGTGCAAACTTTTTCGAAGGGGGCGTACAAGCGCTGTCGCTAGAAGCACCGCTTTTCTGACATTGGTTACGGGTAACTGTATCAACAACACACATGAATAGGCCTCGTCGTAGAGATAGGGCCACAGCGTACTTCGATTGTAGTGGGACCGAACCTGTCCCCAGTCTCGGTGGGATTATTGAGTGACAAGCGATGTTGCACCCGAGTGGGCGTAACGCCCGCCCACAATAGCGGCATAGAAGAAAGATACTTTATGGGCAGTCTTCTTATATTGTAAACAAAAAATTGTGCGCGCCCTCTCGACTGGAAAGCGACAGCCACGGCGGATGTCCTCGATGTCACTATACAGGTGGACTACTCCGGGAACGTCGGTGTGTGTGTGTTTTTATTATTAGCATCGACCGCGAGAACCGGTGTTTTGTGTTGTTTTTGTTTTTCTCCCATTATTGGCTTCTGGCCCCTATTCTCCACTTCTACCAGCTAGATGACCCAACCGAGGTCACATAGGAGGGGGGTGTTGAACCCCCTCCTGCGGTTCCTGCCTGAGATATTTTTATCGCGAGAAGGGTACAGCAATCCCTTCCTTCGCGACTTATGAAGTCGATCAAATTTACTAACAACCAAGCTTTGCAGCGCGTCGCTTCCAGCGGAGACCAGGATTTATTAAGCGACAAAAAGCTCTCTCTGTCGAGACTCGAACCCATGACTTGGCCCTCAGCAGGCTACGAGGCTACCCACTAGACCTGTGTGTGTGTGTTTTCGTCCTATTTATTATGGCGACAGTTCCCCCATTTTTCGTGGTGAGACGTGTACTACACTTTTTCAGCGTATGCAGGGGCACGGAAAAACGGTGAGACACAGCAGTAGTATTTATTTTTTGTTGTCTCCCATCACCGGACTCTGTCGTCTGCCCCTCTGGCCCCTATCCTCCACTTCCACCAGCTAGACGACCCAACCGGGGTCACATAGGAGGGGGGGGCTGGACCCCCTCCTGCGGTTTCCGCCTGAGATATTTTTATCGCAAGAAGGGTACAGCAACCCCTTCCCTCGCGACTTATGAAGTCGGTCGTGTTCCTGGTTGATTCGACTGCCTCACGCGTACAGTATGCCTGAGAACAATATATACGCTCCACCCTTGCTCCAGAGTATGCAGAGAATTAAATACACTGCTGTTCATGTGTTTGCCGGTGGAAATGCTGCCGTAGTCAGCACCTTGCGGGAGACACCCGTGAACGGCAGAGAATACTTAAATGCAAACTGCAACATACAGGGCCTCCTTTCCTGTAAGGACCTGCTGGTTGCAGGATATCAAGTTCGAGACATCCTTTCTGCAGCAGCGGGAAACAGGTGCTACCGCAGCGGATGTCTGTCACGAGCACTCTACGTCAACAGCACAGAACTACTGCTGTACGTACGGCTGAGGTGCGTGCTTGCAAACGTTTACGAAAATACTGCTGTTGTATTTTTGTCTCGCAGCGATCGGCCACAAAAGTCGATAGCTTCTTGCAGCTGAGATTCGATCTGGAACTCGGTCCTCTGCCAGCACTCAAAAAAGGCGGAGGATTGCGACAAGCAACGTCGTAATGTTGTGCTGTGAAGTACATGCTCTTGACACTAGGATTGAACCAACAGGAGCGCACAAGCTAAAACATCATACGAGCGTCTGGTTTTAGCGGATGAGGTTCGTGAGGGCTCGAGCTTGGATGCCGCACGCGGGCAGCAGCAGCGCATCATGCGAAGAGAGATGTCGACCAAACAAAGCGTAATAGTTCTGGTGCTCTGTGCCGACGCTGGTTGTGCGCCGGAGAGGCGGTGCTCTGTTCTTCCGCCCGGCACACCTCCTCTCCCATCGAATGCTGTTCAAATACAGCAGGCGGAGGGACAAGTTGCGGTTGCTGTCTCGCACATCGCAAAACACTCGACGAAAAGAGTCGCCAGTACACCTTGTCAACACCAGAGTTGCAGCAGTTGGTAGCTGAGGGGCAATTACACACACACGAGAGGCGCCTTGGGTTTTTTCGCGCACACTCTAAAACTGCGCGTTGTGTTTGGGCAAAAGCAGGGCAGCGGGACGCAGCGCTGAAGACAAACAGAAGCCACACTCTAGCGCACACATTCAGGAACCGCAGCCTGGTTTCGTTAGCTCCTCAACACGCCAAAAACGCGCCCACAGGGCTGTTCTCCCACCTCGGCAAAGCTCGTCTCTTCGCAGTTTGTGTCAACCCAAGGCGCTAAAGGCACGAACGCGGACAAGCGAGGGAGCCCACAGACAGCGTTGGCACCACTCCCGCCATTCACTCGCTTCTGTGTCACCCCCCTGGTGTGCTCCTTGTGCGTCGTTGTTCGGCAACACAAGAAGCAGCACGGCAGAGAGCGAGGGGGAGAGAGCGTCACAGAAGCTTGTCGTACTCGTCTAGAGGTGAGACGTGTGCGCAAAGTGCGCGAAATCGGTTTGCGGCCGCGAAGGCCGAGGAATTAAACCCAGAAGGGAGTGCAACATCTCGAGACAGGGCCAAAATCCATGAGGCCCACCGGTTCTCTCTCTTGCCCCGCCGCTGCTCACGCGGTCTGGACGTCGCCGAGAAGCAAGACTAAGGGATTGGCCGCATTGAATGGTCGATTCAGGGATTTCCTGTTGATGTGCTCGCTGTGCTGGAGGATTTCCGGGCGACGAGCGGCGTCTTCCTAGGCCCGTGACTCTTGTTCCACGCTACGAATAGAGGTCCTTGTTGGCAGCAAGCACGCGGTGTGCAGATCAATGCTGGCGAGATCCAACCGCGGTCGCGGCAGCAGTCGCGACCCCCTTAACTGCAAGAGGGCAAGAAGAAAGGCGAACGGTCCTGCTGATCGTGTCGTCGCACATGACTCCTTGCACAGGCTGCTATCTCAGCCGGCGCTCACTTTCTACCTTGTGATCAAGCACCAAGTTGTTCAATTTTTCAAATTCGAGAGAAAGACGCAATCGAGTTCGAGGTTTGGGTTTTCGTCCGCCCGCCACCTCAAACACGAATAGCGATCGGTGCGGTGTAGTCGACTGCCGAATACCCCAAAACCCGTTCTCCACACTGCCTCCTGAAGCGATGGCGGGTTCCTGGGGTATCGTCCTTGGGATCTCGTAAACACTAAGGTAGCACTGAACTGGCAGTTTGCGAAACCAAAACAGCGGAGGTTGTCTCTCAGGTGTTGTGTTATTTTCTACTATATTAGTGCTAGGTATTGTGTTATCAACGTGTCCAAGTTCCCTCACGCTCGAATCTCCCCACGGTTCTCCTGAATCAGCTGTGCACAGCGTGGTGACCGGTTGCAGCTTTTGCGTTTGCAAACCGTTCGCACAAACAATTGTTCCACTCTGGGAGGTGTGTGAGACGCTCCACGCTCAGCGGTCTGCCGGTTATGTTTAGATCGTGCAAGATACCACCCCCCTGACCTATTGCAACTCTCAACATATCTCGAGTTCCCACAACGGATGCCCCACAGGAAGTGTTGTTACTTCAGTTGGCACGGGTACAGCGTGTAAAAAGAATTATCTGTGTTCATCGCGAAATTATACTGTTCTTGTCTATGAGTGCAAAGATGAGTCAGTGCTGCTATCCCTGTTGTTGGAGAATGACGCAGTGTCCGTCGGCAGTGAGCTTTCCGAATCCGTAAGGAATCCGTCGGTGTGGCGTTTCGGCTAGTCCCAGCAGTGGCAACGCTCCCATCGAGTTCGAGCAAAAAGCGCGAGAAAACACTGATGGCGAATATCTGGCGCGCACGCGAGTCTCCAATCGAGCCAGCTAAGGTCGATGTTGGGGCGAGTGTTCCATACTCTTGGAGTACGGCACCACGTTCTATCATACCACCGCCAAGCCTTGTCGATTGCCCCCCATGATGAAGTGTGGTGGCACTCGCGGCTCTCCCCGAGATGTCGTGCCTCATACGATGCTACCTATTTCACAACCACCCCGGTTTGGACCTTGCGATCACCATCCTAATCGCACTGCTGTGATCCTATCCCCGGTGTTTCTCCGCATGCGCAACCTGCTGGGCCATGCCTCAGCCGTCGCATTACCCGCAGACTAAATAGGGACGAATCGAGTCTAGCTGGAACCTTTGCGGCGCCATGTCGTACATGAACCAACCGGGGATTATCCTCCTTCGAGAGGGGACTGATTCTAGCCAGGGCAAGGCTCAGCTGGTGTCCAACATCAACGCCTGCCAGGTATGGAATGGTGTAACGGTTTTGCCCTTGGTAGAGGCAGGGTGGGTTGTTGCGGACTTTGCGAGTTTGCACCGGTGTGGGCGTTATTTCCGGCGCCGTTGTTGCGGGATGCACGGGTACTGTTGTTGTTGCTGTGCCCAATGCTTTTCCATCTTGATGTTGCGCCTCCACAGATACCGACCACCACCCTTGCATGGCCCACACACAGCCACGTCCAACCTTTGAGTGCTACTATGCATCCTCTTCGTCGTGGACTAATCCGGCTTTGAAAATCGGTCCAGGGGGTGTGTCATCTTGTGTCATGCCACTTACGGTAGGCTCTTTCACGCCGCCCCGCACGAAAAATATGTGTTTTCGGGTTTCCTAGCATGAGCCGCGAGGGTGGTGTATGAAACAAGAGGCATCTATTTAATCGGTTCGTGTAAACGCCAGCTGGTACATCGCTTGATTTCGCGTGCAAAAGTGAGGGTCTGAGTTAGGTTGTTACAGTATCGGCCACGCGGTGCCTGAGCGCACGTCTGTTAATTTTTTCGACGACACGATCGCCATGTCAGACCCAAAGGGAGCGTAAATAGCAGCTCGTGCAAGGTTTCCTCTTGTTTGCTGTTCCATTTTTTACCGGGAGCGCGTGCATGTCTCGACGACACCCAAAACCCCACTCATGGTAAGTTCGCTGTGGACAAGGCCAACCGCTATGTCAGGCGTTTCGAACTTGGATTCACCGTTGCCGCATGCTAGTGATGATCGTTGTCCGATGGCTATTCTTGTGGTGAAGGCGTTGATGGTGATTCCTCTCCTTGACGCAGACGCCTGTGGTTTGACCGTCTCGTCTCCCAGAAAAAGCCCCTCCAATCCCATGCATGCGATGTAAAACTGTGTGTTTGTGTTGTCTTGAGGCCAAACACCTAGTATTTCTCCCCTCTGCGCTCGCTTTTTTTTTTTTTGTACGGTGCTTGTCGAAGGCGGTGATGGACACGGTGCGGTCCACTCTGGGACCCCGCGGAATGGACAAGTTAATCTTCGACGGCCAGAAGGTGCGGCAACGCTTTGCGAAAGGCAGACACATGGGGCAGGCCATGCCTCCTTTCGATGTAGACCCACCGCTCGTTTTCGGAACGATTGTTCATGGTAGATGAACCCAAGGGCACGTGATCCTGAGCTGCCTCTCGCCGATCATGCGTCGTTTTGTAAAGATCGTTGATTCTATTCGCTCGGTTTCGGAACAATTATTCATGGTAGATGAGCCTAATGGGAACATGATCTGAGCTGCCGCTGGCCGATATTGCTTTGTTTAGTAGACCGCTGAGTCTACTCGCTCGTTTTTAGTACTCCGGAGTACGTGTAGATGAAGCGGGTGCAGGAATCATGAGGTGCCGCCTATTGCCCTCTTCCGAAAGCAAGCCAGCTATTTTAGTGGCTGTATTGCGCCAAGCCTCGTGGTTCCGTACCCACCACGCAGCCAAGCTGGTCGACATCTCACAACCTCTACATGCCGCTTGACGCTCTGTACTTGAGGTGTGGTGTGTGGTGTGTTAGACATGCTCACCTCCAAAGACGGTAATAGATAGACACCTGGTAGATACCTGTAGGACTGGACAATGTTGGAAAAAAAGGAATCGTACCAAGTCTCATGCAACGCGCGATGACCTGGATTCGATCAACCTCATATAGCACACGTTTTTTATTTTCGTCGTGATCATCTGTGTAAACTTTGCGTTGCGTTGTTTTCTGGGGGCGGCCCTTGTGTGGGGTGGGGTGTCAGGTGACCATCTCAAACGACGGGGCTACGATCATGAAGCTGTTGGACATCGCACACCCCGCGGCGAAGACTCTGGTAGACATCTCGATGTCCCAGGACGCGGAGGTGGGAGACGATGAAACGGAGATGGGTCGTCGGGGCTGCTTGCGAGTTTTGTTTTTGGCCACGGCACTGCTGCGGTAATGCCGCATCGCTGATGAGTTAGTTCGTACATGACGCTTGTGGACATCAATCGAGGTTTGTCGGTTGGGCGTTACGTGTTGGTGGTCTTGCCTTGGCTTGAACGTTTCGTGGTGCTACACAATTGTATCCATACCTCTCTTTTGCCCACCACCTCTAGTCGACGTCACTGCTGTACCGTACGAGATGCATCCCACCTCTCTCGCCGGCATTTTTTTCCCAACACTGTCTACTGCCGTCTACGTACTTGTAACACGGTAGTTGAAACACAGCATATCATCTTTCACATGACGCCAGTGCCATTGTCACTGCCATTGCCGTTGACATTGTTCGAACTGCGTCAGGTGGGTGACGGGACGACTTCGGTGGTGCTGCTAGCGGGGGAAATTCTCAAGCACGTCAAGGGCTTCGTCGAGGACGGGCTACACCCCCAGGTGAACCATGTAACCCCGGTTGTTGCTGTTGCTGCTATCCTTTGCTGGTGCTGCCTCTGCATGTGTCACGACTGATTTCTTCTCACTCACACATGTACCGCAAGGTTACGAGTCAGGTAGAGCACAGGCAGGGGTGCGATCGAATTTCAAAGCGTAATTTCTCCGCAGCCAGAAGGGTGCGAGCGCCATTTGATACTTCTCAGGAAAGCTCTCGATGAGATATTTCCAAAACCGCCCTTTTCGACAGCGGTAACCTCCCGGTTGTGGAGAAATTACGCATAGAAAATCGCTCGCACCCCTGTCCCTGTCCCTGTCCCTGTGCTCTAGCTGACTCCCAACCTTACCGTAGTCTACACTGATACGTATTCGAGCGTGTATCCTCGCCCGTAATATTTTGCTTTTGTGTGCACGGTCGAGATTAAGATATTTCAAGAGCATTGCGCTTGACCAGCACACATTGAACGTCTCCCTCCTATCCCGTCGCCCGGCCGGTGTATCCGCTCCCCTCCCTCTTGTTTTGTTTTTTCTCGTCGGCATGCGCAAAGGTCATCTGCCGCGGGCTGCGGAAAGCGTGCGAAGTAGCCGTTGGCAGGCTGGACGCGGTGTCGGTTAAGCCCACGGACGACGCGCAGGCAAGCCACGTACTGCAGTATTGTACCTGTCTCGAGCTCGCAGACGGCAGGCGTTTGTCCTGTAGCAGGTAGCGGGGACGACTTGTTTACCCCCCCCACCCCCCCGGTGTTTGCCATCGGGGTTGGGATTTCGTCGCTTGGCAACGACGTTGTAAAACAAGCCAATTCACTTCGTGAACTCGGCAACCAGGTTACCGGTTTTGTTTTTTACCTCCGTTTGTTTTTTGGCGGTAACCATAATGGTGGTCGAGTAGATCATGTTGTGCGGGGTGGAGAACCCNATCGGTGTTGGTTAGGCCCACGGACCACCGACGCGCAGGCAGGTGTTGGGTATTGTACGTTCGCTAAGCTTTTTTTACGGCAAGCGGAGGAGTACACGGAGCTTAACATTCGGTTCAGTTTTTTGTGACGCGAAGGGTGGTGTGCTGTTGGTAGAGGTGTTCGCTAGTCACTACTGGCCCCGGTCCTGCTGTTGGGTGGGCTGCCTTGTCCACCTTGTCCAAGCATGCCCAATAGCAACCCCGCAACGAGCCTGGCCTTCCTGCCGCACTTGTGTCGCAGGAGCCTTGAGCACTCCAACATAAATAATCCCGCTCCGTGTGTCCGCACAGAAACTTGCGTGGTGGTACGCGATTGCTGCGCGTGGCAGTGTTCCTTGTGCTAGCACCCCGCTCTAGCCCCCTTTCATTGCAGATTCGCTGGAGCACATGTCTTCCGTTCTCCCCGATGTTTGTCGGCTTACAAGCAAGGAATAGTTGGAGATATATCGTGCCTCCCTCCGCCCCGAGGACAGTTGTGTTGCTGCAGACAAGGTGCAGACAAGGTGCAATCGACTGGTGACGATGCCCATGTCGTTCCTGTGACAGCATGATGCCGATCTGGCGAATAGCGGGCACACCATCCTGCGGGCAAGGGAGAGTCAAGAGTCTTCAGGCCACGACCGTACACCAGCACACCGCGCTTTTCATCTCTGCTTGCCCGTGCATGATAAAGGCATTCAGACCCCACCCCCCCCCTCGTGATATGAGAGCCTGGTCGGGTGAAAACCCGGCGTGCTCCGCCCCGGTTTGTAGGGATGCGAGGTCAATGGTGTAACGGCTACGGCATGCGCGGCTATGGGCAACCCCCCCTAAGCCATTGGTTTAACAAGCAAGGCATGCATGACATGAGTTTGCCCTCCGTGTACGTCTGTTACAGGCTAAGGACGTGCTGATGAGGTGTGCGGGTACGGCTCTGAACTCGAAGCTCATCTCCTCGCAGAAGAACCTGTTCGCACCTATGGTGGTCGAAGCCGTCTCCAACCTGGACCAGCAGCTGTTGGATCTTAGCCTCGTGAGTAGATTTCGCGCTTTGGTTCTCTAGAGACGGCTGGTAGGAAGTGTCGGTGCGGCAGTCCAGTTTTTCAGACGCGAGGGGTATCTGGTATCTGACTCCCTCGTTGTTTCGGCTTTTTTTTTTTTTTTTCTTGCGTTCACCCATGTTTTTGCTCGTCTAGTCACCGTACAACGTGCCCCCCCCCCCCCCCNTCGGTGCTTTTTATGTCTGGCGTTAGCCTAACCAGATCATGGCTTCAAGTCCCCATCCATGCCGGGTTGGACCTGCCTGACCCTACACCTACGGTGTTCCATGTATGTTGGGGGGTGTTTTTTGTTACTCAGATCGGCGTGAAGAAGGTCGGCGGCGGCAGCGTAACCGACAGTTTCCTGGTGAAGGGGGTCGCGTTCAAGAAGACCTTCAGCTACGCCGGTTTTGAGCAGCAGCCCAAGAGCTTTGACAACCCGGGCGTGTTGCTGCTCAATGTCGAGCTCGAGTTAAAGAGCGAGAAGGTGTGTTTCTTGCTGCTGCTGCTGCTGCTGCTACTGTTGGTGCTATTGTTATTGTTGTTGTTGCCGCAGTTCCTACGATTGTTATTGCTTCCATTGCTGCTGCCGCTGTGGTTGTTGTTGTTCTGCCGACGCTCTTGCCATTGACGTATCACTTCTTTTTTTTTCAGACAGTCACGTTGTTCCCGCTATCCATACGATACCGCTCGAATCAAATCCTATCGATCGGAACCCGCATCCCTACCTTGCTGCAGGAATCGGCGGAGGTGCGCATCTCCGACCCGGACATGTACCAGGAGATCGTGGACGCGGAATGGAACATCATCTACGACAAGCTCGAGAAGTGAGAGAGGGGTGGTGTTTTTGTCTTGTGGTGACGTAATCACGACATGTGTTCTTGTAGAGGCCTGGCTTGGTACACGACTTTCCGTGCAGTCACTGCCTGGGCGTGTGTACCAGTCGGGACCACTCAGATAGGATCCCTGACCTGGATTCTTTGAACAATAGGAAAACACTTTTCCCGGATTCTTCCGCCGCCTTGAGTTGACTGAAGGTCCTTCAGGACCTTTCTTCTTGTTGATTCTGTTGGTAGCTCACGTTCGGTCTACGGAGTTGATCCACGTTGCTCTGTGGTTGCTGTGCCGCTCCATGTTTGTGTTTTGCGTTTGGCGCGCTACTGACGTAGCATGTGTTTTTGTACCGCGACTCTACAATACAACACTGCGAAGATACATCCCAACGCAAGCAGTTATGTACCGATACAGCAGCGGGTGGTGGTCCTGTCTAAGGCTGCACAATGGCGGCCGGCTGCCCCGTGTAAGGCCAGTGAAATCGTATGACACAGAGGGGACACCATTACTTTGTACCGATGTGGAGAGTACATGCATCGCCTCGCACAAAGGGTGTCCTTGTATCTGTCGGCGTACCATCGCATTCCGGACGTGATCCTCACACATGGTGCTCCCCCCCCCCCCCCCNCGCCTGCTGCCACGGTGCCACCTCGCTGCCGACCGTATGCATATGCCGTACGTGATGGACCGGTTTTTGCAGGTGCGTGGCGAGCGGCGCGAAGATCATCCTCTCCAAGCTACCAGTGGGAGACTTGGCCACGCAGTTCTTCGCAGACCGCAACCTGTTCTGTGCCGGCCGCGTGGCGCAGGACGACATGGAGAGGGTGGCTAAGGTGAGAGAGGAGGGCAGTGATGCTGGTGATGATATGTGTTTGAGTTCTTGAGGAGGAGGAGTGTGCGAGTGAACAACACAGACAGCTTGTTGGTTCAGCAGCAGTAGCAGTGTTGCGGCAGCTATGCATACGCGCAATAAAGGTGCGTATTTTGTGTCCTTTGTTTTGATTGATTGGCCGGTTGGTGCTAGAATTTTTATTTTTATTTGGCCGTCTCTTGGCCTTCTTTTCTTCACACAGACCTATAAGAGGGGAAGACGGTCAGTCTGTGGCCGCTATCTTCGGGTAGTATTGTTTACCTTTACCTGTGCCAATCCGGAAGGATACCCGGAATAGCCCCAGAGACATTTGAGGCTGTACAGTAGTTGGTGCGTCCTATTCGTATACGGGGTGTTTGACGCTGGGGCAGTGAACGACTCACGCTGTTCTTTGTCTACTCTCGTACTCTTGCTTGCGCTTGTCCTTGGTCGATCTTGCTACCCTCGGACCAGGCAACGGGAGGCAAGGTGCAGACGTCCATCCACGGGATCACGCCCGATGTGGTTGGGCACTGCGAGAGGTTCGAGGAGACGCAGCTAGGAAACGAACGGTGGAACCTCTTCACCGGCTGCCCCGAGGCGCGAACGGCAACCATTGTCCTCAGGGGTGGCTCGGAGCAAGTACGAGAACACTCGTTGTGTGATGCGGGTGTTGCTGTTGCTGTTGCTGTTGCTGTTGCTGTTGCTGTTGCTGTTGCTGCTGCTGCTGCTGTTGCTGCTGTTGGCGTTGGTGGTGTTTGTGCTCCTGCGTTGTTTGGTGATCTTGCGGTGCAGGTCCACAATCGAAGATACGAAATCGGCGTTGATGTGTGGGATAGAGCATGTCCGCCTGCCATGGAATTCCCCACGTCTTGTTTGTGTCAGTGTGGGTGACGTGTGAGGTGATATAACATACCTTCCCCATTCGCATATGAGATTTTTCCCAGTCGCTCCGCTACTCACAGCAGTGACCTACATTGCTTGATCCCTGATGAATGTGTGTGTGTGTGTGTGTGTGTGTGTGTTTTGTTCGGTCGCCTGTTTGCCGTGCTTTCCTTGGCACGTCCTGTCACTCTCTACTCTGCTTAGTCCCTCTTCATCTTTGACCTCGCCGCATCCCTTGGCCTCCCATCCCGACGGTTGCCATTCATCATCGAACAGTTCATGGAGGAGTCTCACAGAAGCATCCACGACTCGCTCATGATCGTCAAGCGCTGCCTCAAGAACCGCGAGGTACGGTTATGGTATGCATACGGTACGGTGTTGCCTTGTAGTGACCTCCACGGTAGCGAAGTCGTGCGTTATCGGCTTCGCTGTGAGAATCGGGAATGAGATGAATATTTTGCTGATGTGGCCCGTTCGTTGCACGAGGGGTCCGCTGCAGGTTGCTACCGTGGGCGGAAATAAGGAATCACTTTGACATTTGTGTCTCGAAATTTGCCATCACTCGACATGTACAAGGCAAGCGATGTGCGAGTGTTGGAGTTACGGCATGTTGTTTCTCGAATGGGCGACCATCCAACATCTTTAACTCAAAGACGTGTGCACCGTTTCATCACGGGGGTACAGCTTGCACGTCGGCTCCATGACCATATCAGACAGTAGCTCCCTTGACTGTCAAGACCTTTCCGCCGCGCGGATCGTTCTATACGTGTGTCAAGTTTTTTTTTTGCGTTCCGTTCCGTTCCGTTCCGTTCCGTTCCGTTTCGTTCCGTTCCGTTCCGTCCCCTTCCTTTCCCTCCCGCCGTTCCGTGCCGCAGGTGGTGGCCGGAGGGGGTGCCATCGAGATGGAGCTTTCCAAGGCTCTCCGCGACCACTCCAAGACCATCAAGGGGAAGCAGCAGCTGATCATGAGCTCCTACGCAAAAGCGTTGGAGATCATCCCCAGGCAGCTGGTGCGTGGGCCGGGCAGAGGGTCGCCGCGAAAATCACCGAACCATTTTGTGGATAAAAATGGATTTTTGTGGCGTGCGTTATGCTTTTGAGCATGTTAGAAATACAACGAAATACTATCGCAAGAAATGGAAGAGGTGGGGGGTGTCTGTGGTTCGAGAGAGCACGGTGTGGTACACATGTACTTGAAGGTGCGGTGAGATGTTCTCTGAGCACTGCTGTGATTGGTTGTTCCAGTTGTTGTACACGGCAGTCTTGGTGTTGGCCACATGATTTGTTGGCCCGGGTTTTCGAGGCATTTCCCACGTGGTTGTAACATCGATTGGGGGCTCCGCGATTGGACGGGGCTGAGGACCCGGATGTTTCGGTGTAGCGTCGGCACGTGCCGTATTTTGCTGTTGATGCGGTTTGCGGTATGCTGTGTTTTGTGTAAAGAAAACAACTTTTATGTGTTAGAGGCATTTTACTCTTTGATAGCTTCGTGCTTCGTCCTACTGAAGTTGCCTTTCGATAAAATCCCGAGCAGCGCATTTTCCTCTATTAGTTTTGTCTCGCCTCCTCTCTCATCTTGTCGTCCATTCTCTTTTTTTGCTCTCCAGGCGGACAATGCCGGGTTTGACGCGACGGACTTGTTGAACCGTCTCCGACAGAAGCACGCCAGGGGTGGCGATGCGGGCAAGTGGTTCGGAGTCGACGTAGACACCGAGGGTGAGCATGCCATCAAGAACGTCAACAGATCATTATGTTCTCCTGCCCCCGTTTTCTTGTTGTCGCTTCGTCATTTCGTAGTTTTGTGTTTCTTGTTGATACATCCCGTGCCGCTGGTCTGGTCGTGCTTTCTTCTCCAAACCGCTGTTACTTTTTTTTTGCTCGTGAGTTTTGGATGATTTTCAACTGATTTTTGCAATGTAACAATATATTTGTCTTGTGATTCCCTTGCGGACCGGCGTTCCTCTCGCACCATGTCTCATTTTTTTTTTCCTTTTGTGACAGGTGTGTGCGACACCTTCGAGTCTGGCGTGTGGGAGCCGACGATCAACAAGCGAAACTCGCTGCGGTCTGCAACGGAGGCTGCTTGCCTTATCCTTTCCATCGACGAAACCGTCAAGAACCCCCAGGTCTGTTGTCTCTCCTTGTTTTTTTTGGTCGTGATGTTGTTAAGCTCATTTTTCCCGAGCGTTTGTGTCGCGGCTAGATGAAACCGATTTATTCCGAACATAGTCGACTGGATCGTGTTCAAGCCGTCCTTAGTGTGCCCTGCCACTGCTGGTCTTGCACGTCTCTGCCTGTACATTGTAGTTGCGCGTTGTTGCTGTTGGTTGCTTGTTTGACTGTATGCATAGCGGTAGACCACCCTGGTGGGTTCTGTTAGTGGCCCTTCGCATGGAAAATTCGTCAGTGCAACGGACGATGCAACAGAGGAAGGAGTGGGAGATTGTAGTTCACTCTACACGAACGACGCCTGGCTTGTGTCCGCGCCAACAATCACACACGGTTTTGGTTTATACACCCTTCCTCTGCCAGCACGTCTCCTTGTATCGCTTTGCGCCCACCCCTAAAACCACCGCTGTGTCCTTGTTTTGCACACCAAACCGGTTCAACACGCAGAGCGAAAAGCAGGGGGCTCCGAGCCAGGGCGTTGGGCTGGGCCGGGGAGGCCCGATCAGCGCGGGGATGGGGGGACAGGGGATGGCAGGAATGATGGGAGGTGGGGGGCGCGGCCAGAGGCCCGGAGTAAAGATGATGAAGGGCAGGGGAGGCGCGTAACTGGTGTGCTTCCCTAGAAGCGGCAGGGAGGGCGATCATGTAGTCTCTGGTGTGGGGTGGCGGCGGCACACGGTGGTAGCTACGGCAGAGTTGGAGAAGTCTTGGGGCGTAGACTTCAGACCTCCGCGTGCCTTCCACTACTTCCGGGGTATTCGTTGTGGATGGTAGTTTGGAGTTGTTGTAACCGCCTCGGGTGGACTTCGCGTGGCCATCGCGTCACGGTGTACTTCTTATTTTCGTGTTTTGTCGAGGCATCTCTCAAGTATGTAGGCTATGAGCTCACTCATTCTTTAACGTTTTTTTCCTTGAGGCAATACTGCTGCGGACCACCCTCAACGTGTACCAGGCGGAATGGTGCATGTTGGCGTCGCGAAGCGCAGTTGAAATTGTTGGTCGTGCTCGTGCCTTCCTGTATGCAGGGCGGGAAAACAAATGAAAAGCGCAAATTCGCTTTCATCGAATCGACCGCACCGACAGCGAGAGTGAAGTTCGACTTCGCACATGCCAGTGGTGTGAGGTAAAAAGGCAAAAGGTTCATGATGAATGACAAAGATCATACATACTGATTTGCCCGCAGACAGGCTGTGATTTGTGCCAGCGGCGATGCATCTGTATCTACTTGCGCAAGCATAAATCGACAGATTTTCGATTCAAGCTATTAAGCTCTAATATGTAGTGCGCATCGGCTCTAAGGTGTTAGGCGCGCCCTCGGAAAATAAATGTGTCAAACGTGTCCGCCACTCATTCCGACCTTCTCCTGGGCGATGCGTAGTAAGCGTACCGCCGTTCAGTCCAAATGAATCCCAGCGGCAACAATTCTTCAGCTGTATATGATTCCGCACTGCGCCATGTTCCCTACACAGGATTATGAGCGAAATGATAGTAGCATGGAACACGCCAAGCTGTTATTTAACCGTCTCTATGTGGTTTCCGACAAAAAAAAAGTCTCCCCAGAAGACGTTTTCACACTGTCCAGTTCCAACCAATGCCGAAAGCTCGGGATGCTGGAAAGATGCCGTTAAGAGCGTTCCTGGAAATGACACGACGCACGGAAGAGAGACTACCGAACCAAGTGAACAAAAAACGCGAACGTGAGGCTACACTACCTCGTCTGCAGCGTACAGACCCTGCCCGACCCTTCCAGGTCACGGGCGACACAATCGGGTCAGCCGTATGTTCCTGCGGGGTGCCTACAGGGCTCACACGGATAGACTCACTAGAGGAGAAACACAAACACAAAAGACTCCGTGCGAGATACAGACTAACCCCAGTCGAACGGGATGTATTGGAGTTTTTGCAGTGCATGGAGGAAGCCGGCTGGCTTCAGGGCTTATTTGGAGTATATTCAAGCCTTATATTTTTTTACAAGTAAAACACTACCACTGCTTATTCTTTCAGTTGCCGAGTGACCACCCGTGATGCGGCGAAATTGTTGTCGGTTGGTTTTGTCCGGATGTTCTCCGAAGATCCTGCGGACGCTCCGGATGCTGCCCCTTCACAAGGGAAAGACACGCGCGTTGGTAGCCATGTCGACAGAAGCAAGCAACTCGGCTGCCGTGGTCAAAGATGTCGCCCCAGTTCATGCCGTACCTGCGTTGGCGGCCGGTACACCGGCCGCGACCGGGGCTAACAGCGTCGCCAGCACGGCGAACCAGATCCTATTCAAGGTGCGATCCACTTCGTTTTCGGCCTGACCGCCACTCTGCTTTGCCTACAACAGTATACACATTCATCCTTGTCGCATGCCTGGAGATGCGCGCATGTATGGCGCATCGTGGGCGACAGATTCACATGCTTGGCTCTGTACCTTGGTTGAGCAGTGAATGATTGATGGCATCACAGCGGGATGTTGGGAGCAGGTTGCTGGAATCGACGGTACATGTAAACGATGCTGTGCATATTTCACAACTCGAAATTTACCTGCTAAAATTCGTACCAAGCTCGACTTAGCGTACAGGTTTGGGAGTCACATCATGCAAGAATGTACAAAGAACAGGCAGTAACTTCTCCACGTGTTTCGTGTCTTCCTCGTTTCTTCGGGCACTTGTTGAATACCGGTAATTTCACCCGAGCTCCGGTACAGGAATCGAAATCACCACCCGCGGGCACGATAGCAAAGTCAAACTGGGTTCTCTCCCACCAGGCGATCGTTACCATTGACGTACTAAGAACGGTACTTGGTTTAACCAACAGTGTTTACACCCTTCCACAACCGGTGTCGACCGTGGCCGATGCCCTTGCAGAATGAGCTCTACACGAGCATGAAGCAGAAAACAATGGACCAAGAGCTGATGACAAGATTCAACAGAGAGGCGCAAGAAGAGGAGAAGCGAAAGTTTGAGAAAGCGAGGGCAAAGGTGGCTCGGCTGGAAAACAAGAGAAAGGCAAGCTGTCGAAGGAGAACACTGCGGAAGTAAAGCCAGAGGACGTAGAGCCCTAATGTTGCAGAAAAGTCGGGATGACAAACCGCGTACATCCAAATCTAGGTTTGCGGAGCCTACCAGCCCATGTGTGCTGAATTTCCGTCCTCCCAGCGTACCTATCTTCTTCAGGTTTTTCAGCCGCCGAACGGTTTTCCAATACCAGAACATTGCCAGACGCGTTCTGATCGGCGATGGTTTTCCAAAACCATCAACATTGTGCAACAGGTCCTGATAGGCGTCGGCGACATGGTCGGTCCACCGGGGTGCGACCCCAGCGAATACTCCTCCGCCTCCGTCGCGGTGGATGTGGGGCCTCAAGACACCGTTTGGGACGTCAAGAAGAGGCTCATTGCCGTGGCCGGCTGGACGGACGAGCTGCCCTCCGACTTCGGTCTCTTCAACGACGTGTCGGACGAACCTTTGATGGATGGGCAGTCGGTAGATGCGGCGTTGGCACCAAACAAACCGTCGTCGTCTAAAAAAGCAGTGTCAAGGCGAGGCGGTAGTAGAGCTACTGCAGCTGCATCGATTCGTCTTCCTCGTCCGTATGTAGGTGTGTTGTGGGCGGCAAGATTGGGTTGATGACCACCGACGATTGTGGCGTGATGTTTCATGTTCGTGAAGGCCTCAGGGAGTGAACGTAAAGCCACATAGACGATTATGATAAGTCTTCTCTTCCACCCGTGAGTTGTAAGGGAGGGATGTGGAAGCGAACGGTGGAACGGGCGCACGAGCAGGTGATGAGCCTCTGCTAACGCCTTTGACCAAGTCTGTCATTGCAATCGTGCGTCTACATAGGCGTATGGACAGTTCGGTGCTAGGTACGCGGTTGGAATGAGCCGATGGACGGACGGGGTGGACGGAAATCCACGGTTTACGTAGTCGATACCGGTCAACAAACCCAGAGCTGACGAATCATATCGATTGCCACTGTCGCAAGCTATCACGGCATGTACCACGTCGATCGGCCGACATGATAGGACCTTCACGTTCTACCGAGAAGAGGCGATAGTCCTTTTTCAGTCTGCCTGTGCCCATCGACTTGAGAGCTTTTATACGCCACAACGCTGGAGGAGGAAAATCAAGCACGGGAGTGATGGCACAGGTTGGTCGGAGTTCGTTTCTCATCGATTGATTCCCCACCAACGGTCTGGAGATTTGACACCTACTTGGAAAGGATCAATCTGGAGCTCTCAGATTCATCCCCTGTATGCTGGAGGGGAACCCTCAGTGTGGTCACGGGTCGGAGCCCCTACCCAGCATAAATGCAATGAGTTGTCATCACTGATTCAAGTTGAAGAAAAAAAACACCGGACATCTTGATTTGGGCAGCAGACCACGCGGGGCAACGCGTGAAATACTGCAGAGTGAGAGGAAAAGCTTGGCAACCGCGAGCTCTCCTTTCAGGCAATGTGGCGCAAGCTCAATGCGGCCTTCGGCGGCTTGCAGGAGTTGACGAGCCGAGTGATGTACCTTGAAGTATATGTTGTGCGGGGCATGCATTGGCATCAATGGGTGAAGCAACCAGAATGTGTCAATTACTTGAACAAGTTCACTTCGCTCCGTACCGCTATTGCAAGCCACCTCCGTGGTCTAGAACGCGCACACAAGAAGAGGGCTCATCCAAAATACACACAACAAATATCATCGGCAAATCAGTGTCTGACACAGCAAGCCGCAAGCCAAACTAACACTACAGAAGCAGTAGATCCAACGCAAAACAAACTATCGACATTTGGATTCTACCATCCATCCTGATCAGGCAAAAGCTGCGCGGAGCTTTACGCTCACTCTAAACAACGCGCTCGGAAGGAATTCGGTTTGGCGGTCTTCACCACACCACATACAGTTCTAAATCTACCCCACGACTGCCAAAACGTGCGACAGCTAACCGTTACCATTGCCCACATTCACAAGTCGTACAACACGCCACCCACCGGGCAAGCGCACCCGGTGCAACACAAGAACGATCCTAACTCTATGTACAGGCGCCCGGAGGAGGAACACAAACATGTCACGGGTTCACTCAGAGCTACGCAGGCAACCAGCCCATCACATGGACGATCGGCCCGCTCTGACCCAATACTGGCAGTTTCAACAACGACAAACCAACCGATCAATATCACAAACAAACCCACACAATCCAACTTAGAGCCGCCCGCCTCGTTTCAACACAACGCTTCATGCCGTCCACACAGACTGCCTGCCTCAAACGTGACGAACCTCAAAAACTTGACCATTACATAGGAGTTGGCGACATGAGTCGCGTCTTTCAAAACAAGGCTCACACTTCGTACAACTACCCCCCTCCTACACGTAGATTCGACGGCGTACGTCCCGCCCTAGCAAAGAAACGCTCAGATTTCTAGCGGAGGGAAAGGAGCTGCCGATGAAGAAGGACCGCTGCCGAACAGCGGCCACCTGAACAACTTGATTATTCCGCCGGAGGACCTGGCGTTCAAGGGCGACGACTCCTCCGTCCGTCTCTGCTCCTTTAGCGCACTACCGTGCGGGCTATGGAGCAGCCCCCATCCTGCCACCACGGGAAAAACGGAGGCATTGTTGAAACGGGTGGGGTTGCGCGTCAACTATACGTTAACGGAGTGAATTCGCGCAGGGGGGGTTGTCGGAGTGACTACAAAACACAAGAAGGAAGTTGCAACAAATTATTGAGTCACAGGGGATGGTGGTTGGCGGTATTCGGGTGTCACAGTTAACGCCGGAACGCGGGGGTTGGTCGCGCCATAGCGGCTGCAGAAAGCCGCACGATGCAGTTGGAATTGCCCAAAAGTGGGAGCTTTCGACCACCTTTTTGCCTTTCGCCCCCATTTGCAGTTTCACCGGTTTTGTTCGTGCGCGGTCTCGTACATTCACGTGTTACCAGCAACGAGGTGGAACGCAAAACGTGACCGCCGCACAAGACGACACGGAGGCAGAACCAACACCGCGGGCGCAAAACCCTCCAACGCGCGTCCAGGAAAGGCGCTGGAAAACCTAAACGAAACGCCAAACGAGTAGACTATTGTCCCCATGGAGGGGTAATTTATATCACTGTCTCACCTAAGTCGATGACATAAGTGTCCGACGCAGCACGGTACGCGCGGAGAACACCCACGCCGAGGGACGTGCCCACCCTATCCCCGAGAGTGGCCTTCGCGGGACCGAGGATAGCGGAGAGCTGCAGGAACATCGTGGTAGTTCCCCCGCTCGGAGATCTGAGCGAAAAAAACGAGAAAAGTGGCGTCTGATTCAGCTGCTCGATCATCGCGAGTGTCGGAAGGGACTGGGCAGGGACCGGAACGGGGATTGAAATATGAAGACAACATCACCATCAACATCAACATCAACAACACGACGACGACCACAATGGACGGCGAGCAAAAGCTAAAGGAAAAAAAAATAATACTGGTTCCGTACGCCTAGTGGAGTGGAAAGCCTTCTCAAGCCATCCACTGCCAACACGTTTATCGCTGCGGTAACTGTGACCACTCGGATACAGTAGTGAATCGGCTGGTCGAAAGGGGGTTTCGTTTCCACGCTCTCGTGTCCGACACAGCTTCCGTCAAAAAGCAAGAGCCCGCGACGTCAAGGTCCCGCCACTGGAGACATTTTCCGCCTCACAAAGGCGACGGACTATCCGATGTACCGTACCGTGCTTTGCCTGGAAGATTAGACCAGCCTCGGCTGAACAGAACAAACGCGAGTAAACACCCACCGGTCGGTCGACCAAACACACACCGCGAAGATCAACCTCGTCGTGCCGCCATTAACGGTAGATGGCTAGAGATCGAACGGCTGAACCCCAACATCGGCGCGCTCCGCACCTGCCACTGCTGCAAACGCTGAATACTCCGGGGACAACCAAAACCACGCCCGTTTCAAGACCCCGCTCTCGTCTCTACACTGCTCCTAGCTACCAAGCGGCTAGCCTGCCTATCTGTATCAACCCCCGCACCTGGCGCTATCCCCGGAAGAAGTCTCCTTCGAGCCACCCTCTTCCCCGGCAACGACAAGCACGACGCCGTCCTCCCGGACGAACTTGACCCTGCCAAGGCCCATGGACGTCCTGACGGGGGCGTCGGGCAAGGCCACGCCGGAGGCGATGGCGGCACGGTTGAGGAAGGCGGAGGCAAGACGGCCGGTCTGCGAACGCCATGATAATAGAGAAACCTGCATCGCGGTGTCGTTGGGGGGGGGAGGGGGGGGCGGTGGGCACGCCGAACAGAGTTGCGGGGGGTTCACAGCGAAGCAACGCAAAGAGGCAATGCATGGGAGAACACCTAAGGTCGACGTTATCTCCGGGGAGGCCACCACGTCAGCCACAACGGGTCACGACAAGACTCTACAACGCTGCCCATCTCTTTTCTTGTTCCGTGATGGCCCCGTCCCATCGACCTAGGCACTTGCAACCCTAGTCCTCCCCACACTCTCTCGCCCTGGTTTGCATATGATAGCCACGTGACAGGACAACCCCATCTTCCATTCGCCCTGACCTGTGAAATGCATGGCCACCTGCTTCATAGACGATCGTCCCCTCCTTTCGGCCTGATCTAACGCATGGCCGCCTGCTGGGTGATTACTTCGCCCTGCGACCCGGACATGCAAAAGTCACCTTCACCTGATAGATCCCGTCTTCCGGCCTGAACTTGGTCACCAGGGCCGGCCCCAACCCCTTCGTCTTGACGCACGCGCCGGGCGGGAAATCGCACGAGTGAAACGACACCGACACGGCCTTGGACGGGCTCTTGGCAGCCCTAACCCTGTGGTTTATCGCGACGCACGTCGCATTGTCAAAGGTGTCAAAGGGGGAAATAAGAAATAGGGGAGGGGGAGGATGGGGGCAGCCCCCAAAAGACTTGCCTCTCTAGCAACGTAGCCCGCCAGTGTACCGCAACGAACGCCGTTCTTGTCAAAGGGGATATAGGGCGCGCGGGGTGGGGGGGAGGGGGGTGTACTCATCGTCGTGCATGCCGTAGTCGTTAGGCCATTGACCTCGCATCCCTACAAAGCCGGGACGGAGCACGCCGGGTTCTCACCGGACCAGGCTCTCACATCACCAAGCGCGAAGCGCCGTGAGNAAAGCCGGGACGGAGCACGCCGGGTTCTCACCGGACGGGGGGGGAGGGGGGGGGCGATGGATGGGAGGATGGGATGGGGACATCCCCCCAACGACGAGCCTGGCCAGGAACCATGAACGTGAATTCCGCTGACGACACTGGTATCAGGCTCGATTCTAGCGACGATAATCCAACGGTGTATGGCCCAGTATGGGCCCTCACTGCCACATGAAACGGCGCCCTCTGCGATGGCGTTTCGCTCCTCACGGCCCCCCACTGCCACACAAAACGATACTCTCCGTAACGGCTCGATGTCCCCCCCCGCCCCCTTCCTTTCAGCTCTCACTTCTGCGGGCTCCCCGGGGGCGTCTCGAGGATCTTCGTAGTGCCTCCGCCGCCCCCCGCGTACCCTCCCACCATGGACATGAACCCAAAGAAGGACGAAGGCCGGGAAGAACGCGGTCGCCTCCTGCTGCCACCGTCCCGTCGGCTTGACTTCCCGTTCGCCGAGGAGAAGGAGGCCATGGATGGTCGTGTTTCCCACCCCGCCCAGATGCTGCCGCGGTTGAGCACCGCTCTGGCGGGCGTGTTGTTGGTGAGCCGCCACTTCATGAACGCCACCTGTCGACGGGCAAGGCGCGGAGAAATTAAGTCACCATACTAATCGTGTAATGTACCAATCATTATCACGCATGAAGGATGGGAGGCGAGTACACAAAGACGAACCGTTTGGTGGAAGGCTGGGCAAGGTAAGTGATTTGCATCGCGCGATAGATCGGAGGCGAGAACAAAGGGGCAGAAACATTGCTTGAACGGTGGATGGACAAGACCTTTCCTCTCCCGTAAAGTCTGGGATACAAACATGCGAATGAATATTCGGCACGAAAATCAATGGAGGCGCCTGCCCTGATCATGTGTTGAGACCTGCATACAGCCGGCTATTGTCTATCTCTTCCCTACCGTGAGCACGAGAGAACACCGGGTAGGAGAGGAAGAAATTTGAAAGATAGGGACCAGAGGGCAAACCCGACGCCCCCAGCGCCGACACCGGCGCCAGCGGCGACTCCCGCACCAGCCGCGGCACCAGCGCCCGCAGCGGCGGGCACCGGCCCAGCCCCAGCCCCTGCCCACGCGAGCGTCGCCGCGGTTTTGCGTCGGCCAACATCCCGTGCACGGATGTGCCGTGCTTCACGACCACAGCACCCCTGGAGGCGGCGCTATCGCTTGAGGTTTACTAGAGGGTCGCATGGCCGGACGGGTCGACGGTGGACGTCGGCGACCGCGGACGTCGCCCTCTGCCGGGCCACCGCGAATGTCACGCCCTCGTCTCCCGTGCCGGGGGCTGAGAGATCCTGCAGGACGCCGAGAAACGGAGAAATCGACCGGCGGGGGGTCTCGCCCACCTTCCGCCGGTTTTTACGCGCTCCAAGCACGCACGCGGCCGCGGGCGTGTACAACGCGGAGCTGTACCGCTGCCTACCCGGTCGTGACGTCGAGCAACACTCGCACGGTCTCATGCACTCCGACCACAACTAGATTTCGGACTAGCGCCTTGCAGGTACAGCTCCATGCGGGCAGGCCGTGGTTCAACTGTCCTGCCCGGTCGTGACGTCGAGCGACACTCGCACGATCTCAAGGATCCCTCCCGAGCCCGGTACATTTCGGACGAGCGTCTTGATCACAGGACGCTCGTCGGAAATGTGGTCGTGCTCGGGGTCCGTGAGATCGTGCGAGTGTCGCTCGAAGTCACCACCGGGCAAGCGGCGGTACCACTCCGCGCGTGTACAAGTCCGCGGCCACGTGCGTGCGTGGAGCACACAGAAACCAGCGGAAGGTGGGCTAGACCCCACGCTGGCCGATTCTTCTCATATCCCTGTGTCCCGCAGGATCTCCACGACAATTCTTGGTCCCCGGCACGGAAGACGAGGTCGTGACGATCGCGGTGGCCCGGCCCGGCCAAGGGCGACGTCCGCGGTCGCCGACGTCCGCCATTGATTTCGCCGGCATTCGAAACCGACTTTGCAGCCTGTGCTCGCGGTAGGCTGGCTCAATAACATGGTACAATACATGAAAGTTTGGGTGACTCAACCAGGCTCCATGTCAGTAGCCAAGGAGAAGACACGACAAGGAAAAGTATGGGTCGGACCGCCGGCCACAGAGCTGGAGGCCTCAGCCAAAAATTTAAAACTTACATTAATAAACGATCTTGGGCCAAGTGCAACACTAAAAAAGAAACGCAAACACTCACTCATCTACCTCGTAACACTTATGTATGCCAACAATACAGTCGCACGAACGAGCCACCCACCTCGTACATAACCGCGTCCGTGGGCGACGCCGCCGACGCCCTCCTGCCCCTGACCATCTCCCCCCTCCTCTCCAGAATCCGGATCCCTAGGGGCGAGGTTGCATCATCATTGCCGCCTTCTCCTTCCTCCTCGTCCGTGCTCTCCCCGCCGCTGCCGACGCCAGGGGACGGCGCATCGAAACCATCCCCTCCCGCCGCCGCATTAGTCGGGGACTGCGGGGATGACGACCCCCGCCTGCCCCCGCGCCCGCCCAGGTCCGCGACGGAGGCCGGCGAGGACAGAAGCTGCCCGGGGAACAGCTCCCCGGCGGCGCTGCCGCTGAGCTGCCTCCCGAGCTCGCCCAACCCTTCCTCCGCACCAGCGTCGCCGCCGCTGGAAAAGGATAGGCGGCGGTAGTCGTCCCGACCGGGGACGGAAATGCTCGCGCCCCGGGGTCTGCCGGCGGAGTAGGCGGGGGTCGGGCGCGGGGTAGAGACGGGCCGCGGGAGGCCCAGGAGCGCCGGCGAGCCGGGCGTCAAGTCGCTCGCGGTTATTACGGTCGAGGAGGAAGGAGGCGGTGCCCGTGGCGGCTGTGTCGCCGGCAGCGATGACGTCCGGGTAGGCCGGGGAGAGGCGGCTGCCCACGGCTGCTGCTGCTGCTGCTGCTGCTGCTGTTGCTGCTGGTTGTCGGCGGCGGTGGAGCCCTGGCTGCGGGGAGACCGCGGCGGTGTAAGCAAAGGCCTCGAAGACGGCGGCGACGGAGGAGCCGCCTCCTGTCCCGACGATGCCGTGGCGGCGGCCGCGATGGCGGCCGGACCTCCTTCGGACACACCAACCCCATCGCCGTCTGCCGGACCAACAACAGCAGTCGACGACCTCGCAGCCTCCGCCGGGCTTGGTGCATCGCTTCTGCCCGCTCTTCTTGCCGGTGACGCGGTGGCGGCCGCCGTACGATTAGAAACCCCCTTCTCTTCCCTTCCCGCCGCCGTCTTCTCCAGCTTAGGCAGACCGGCGGCGGGATCGCCGCCGCGAACGGCGGTAACGGCGGCGGGCCCGAAGATGGTGTCCACGATGTCGCCCACCCGCGGCTCGGGCGGGGTGGGGGCCGGCACGGTGCTGAGCTTGAAGAGCGACGAGATGGCCTTGCCCGTGCGGCCGAATAGGGACGGCGACTTGCCGACGGTGGCCGCGGTTTCGGCGACCAGGTCGGCCTCTCGAAGAAACCCTAACGCCGGCTTCCCGGCGAGGACCCACTTCTGGAAGGCGACCTGGTAACAGGGTTGGCGTAGGGGGCGCGAAAACAGCAAAATATCAGTCGTCACATATTAGAATAGTGTCGGGTTGCTAGTAAACTTTGTGTGTGTGTGTGTGTGTGTGTTTCCGCCGATTCGTCCGGACTGAAGATAGAGAAGCAACAGTTGGCTTGTGTCCAGCAGGGAAAACTTGCAGCGAACCCGGGCGTGTCAACAACACAGCGCGTTCGAAGAACTCCGCCCGCGAGGGCGGAATCACCTGTTAACTCTTGTTCCACAGCTTGGCGGGCGGCGAAAATACACATACGCAAGAGTCAACGACAGGGCGAACTACGAAGGTCAAGAATCTCGCCAGCCCATGCAAATACATCCACGTTTCGTCGCCGACGTTGTTTTCGTTGTCTTCACCGTAGAGACGCTTCCGTTCTCTAGTCTCTGCTCAGTACCTTCTAACGTCGCAGACCGTCATACGTCATACTCGAGTAGTTTTCATCGTAAACGATGATGAATGCAGATCGAAATTCCATCCCACGGGCCGTGGGAATCTTAATCTTGCCCAAGAAACTCACCTCGCACATGCCGTCTTCTGGACGGACGTGTCTCACAATCGCCGGCCCCAAGAAGGTCTGAACCATGGCTCCCGTGGTGATGGCAACCTTGGCCGCGGGCCGGCTGCTGCCGGACGAACCCGCGTCCTGCTGTCGGCTGAAGATGCTCAGGCGAGTGGATAGCCTGCCGGACTTGGGCTCATCGGCCTCGTCCTTGTGGGCTGGCTTCTTCACCTATTGGCGGGAGGAGAGGGGAAGGGAAGGGAAGGGAGGGGAAGGGGTTTCTCGCTGGCGCTGTAGCTACCTCAGTTAGACGGGGGTGTATGTCATAATGTCGGGGGGAGGAATAGTCATGTTAACGAATTCCGTAGTCGGTAGATCGTTGACCTCGCACACCTACAAAGCCGGAACCGGGAGCGGGAAAGAGAAGAACATCGTATGTTCTACTGAGTCACGCAATCAATAGCGGTTTCATCTGACCCCTGTAGCTTACAAGAGGCCAAGGGGGAAATAAAAGGCTATGTATCTTGCTCATCAAGTCCGCCATCTTGGTTCATGAAGGAGCTTGCCGCGACATTTTCGCTCATCGTACAAGCCACCAAGCTTACCTGCGGCGATTTGCGTAGCCCGCCGAAGACATCATCTCTTTGTGGTATGAAAAGACACGCGCCAACAACCGGCCCTCTCCTCATACCGACCGCAAACGAAGGAAACAAGAACCATCACAGCAACAGAGCAGTTCACTAGGAGCGTTGACGAGAGCACCCGTCTCGTGCAGCCTGCCACCTACCTCGGGGGGTGCTTTCTTAAGCGACGAGAGCTGCAGGTAAGCGCGGACCGCCATCGACCCCGGCATCTTGGCCGTCAACACCTTGGCAGCCGCAGCCGCGACGGACTCGTCATGCTGCTGTCCTCCTGCAAAGGCGGCAGCAGCCTGAGGCGAGTTCTCGCCCGAGCCGCCGCTGGCCCCCTGCGGCGAGGGCAAACAGGCACACGCGTGCGGGCAAGCGCGTTGGCGAGCGGGCAGCAGTAGCATCCACTCTTGTGCGGTCTACTTTGCAATGGAAGCACACGCGGAGCCTCACCGCCTATAGCATCTACAAATCGAGTTAATTACCACCAGTGCCATCTCCACAAGAGGGTAGGCACGGCGAGGTAACACCGCCGCCAGGCCTTCTGTCCAAAGCTTGATATTCTCATCGCAACAGACGAGACACGGCACAAAGTGTGTCGTTCTCTTCCCTTCTGCCTGCTCTGTCTCTGTCTCTGTCCCCCTCACCGAGGTTGGTCTCCAGGACGTGTCTCCGCTCCCGTGCGGCGAGAAGCCGCCAACCCCGCCACCATCGTCGCTGCCGCCCGGCCGACCAACCGACGATCCCGCCGAGCGAGGCCGGACCATACCGGCGTGCGGCGAGCTCTCGCTGCCCCCGGCCTCCCGCTCGTCGCCACTGCGGTCGGCGCCGCCTTCGTGCCCGTGGCTGCTGTTCCTCTGGACAGCCTCCGCGGCGGCTTCGGTCAGCGCCGCCGCCGCCGCCGCCCTCGCCGCCTGCTCGGCGAGACTCTCCTCGCCCGCCGCGCCTTCTTCGGTGGAGGCGTTCTGCGCCGGCGGCGGCGGCCCTTGGTGTCCCGTTGTTCCTCCCCCGCAGGAAGGCTCGAGGAGGCTGGAAGCCACCGCCTCCGCAGCCGCCGCTGCCGCCGCCGTCGGTCCACCGGCGGCCTCCTCGGCGCCGCCGCCGTCGCCGCGCATCACCGCCATCGCGGCTGTGGCGGCCGTCGCTGCACCGGAGCCTGCCGTTACCGCCGCGGCGGTGCTCCTCCCCCTGACCCTAGCATCTCGCACGGCCTCGCCACCGCCGGCCGCGTCGGGCCCGCGGTCGGGCATCATCAGAGGCGACGGCGGCAGCAGCAGGCCGGGGTTGTCCTCCTCGTTAGCACCAGTGTCCCCTGCCGCTGACGCCGCCGCTTCTCCCTCAGACCCCGGGCCGCCAACCCCGGCATGCGCACTACCGGCTGCCATCTCCGCCCCCATGGCCGGAGGCACCGGCACCGCCGCCGGGGGAAGAGGCGGCGCCGCCGCCGCTGCCGGTGAAGAAGCCAGTCTCGCCAATCCCCTCGCCGCGGCCCTCGGGAAACCCGAGGGACGGGTCGGTAGGGTTTTCGGGCGCGGCGCGGCTGGACCCTGGGGGTTCGGTCGGCTTGCGGCGTGGGCGGAGCGGCTCGTCAGCGGGGTGGCGGGAGCCGTGGAGGCCTTGGCGCTTGAGCTGCGGGACGCCGCGGACGCGGAGACTTTCTGGGACCAGTCGAGCAGGACCTGGGGTTGAGCGCACGGTCGAGGGATGAGGGGTGAAGAAAAAAGTGTTGGCGACGGTGAGTGAGAAATTAAGTCTTGCGGTGTTATTGCATAGGGGGCAGCAGCGGTGTTGTTACCATCACGGGGTAGGTTCCTAGACTACCGTTATCTTGCTTTTTGTTTGCGACACCATAGCACGCCCCGGTGATGCTGTCTTGGCTTCTCAAGCAATTTCTGTCGGGAAAACTACTAGTTTTGCGTGTGTGTGGTACATCTCGTCACCCTTCTACCTGATCCGAGAGTAGTTCAAAGTTATTGGGCTCATATCGACACCTAATACACTTACCACCGGCTGTGGTGGTGGTGTGTGTGCTGTGTTGGAGGGCGTTAACCGAAGTGTCGACTACAATGGCTATAGCGTACCTCGTACACGCCGTCTTCGGGTCGGAAGTTGACCACCGTCCCGCGGCCGAAGGGCGTCAGCACCGTCTCCATGTCGTCGAAAGCCCTCTCCGCACGGATGAGCCAGTTCGGCTCCAGCGCGGCGGCCTGCAGAAGCTTGTTTGCCTGCGGCACGGCGTGGCATAAAATGGCACGGCAAGGACAACAACAGCAACACGTACGTCCCGAATCAACGAAACAAATATGTTTTTGGCTACACATGCATAGGCGTGGTGTCTGGTTTTGGTATGCATAGCGGTAGAGTTTAGCACGCACACAACATCACACAACAAGGCGAGAAACACATGCGCAAACACGCCTCGCCGCGAATCGGCCTTCATCGAACACCCTCCAAGACGCGCGGATATCGAACATCTCTTCCTTCCAAACAGGTGGATAAGGCACGCGCCCACCTGCCAGACGCTCTGGTTGATCTGCCGCCTCTGTTGCTCGCGCATCAGCGGGCTCTCGAACTTCATCTCCACGAACTGCTCTACAGCGCCCTGGCACACGCGCTGCAAGCCTACCGCCTGAGGACAACAGCAGCAACAGCGAGCAAATAACGAACGGGGCAATGTATATCGGCATAGTATCATAGGCAGCAGGAAACGCAGGCCGTCAGGAAGCCGAAGCGTGAAGAGTGGGGAGGGAGAACGAGAGCATAGGTTGAGTTTTGGCGTTTATGGGCCTCACGAAACGACAAAATGGCCGTATAGATGACCACGACCATCACAGTGTTGGTCCCAACATACCGCGGTCCTGAGTAGGGGTGGGTTCCTAATCGTCGCGGCTATTATCGCTTGTCATGGGATTCTGTCTACTTCACTCAAGAAAAGCTATATCTTGCCCAACACTCAATAGCGCCGCGTCCCGATATACCGCGGTTGTTTGGGCTTGTCGCTAGGCCGCGACACACATCGGGATCACGACTGTATTGACACCACGTAAATACAACCACCTACACGACAGCTGTAGTACCGTACAGCACACAACAAACGCACCTGGATGAGGCCGTGCTTGTAGGCGTGGCAAGCGGCCTCGACGTAGTCGCCGACGAAGACGATGTTGGCCTTCTTCCACGCCTCCCGGGTAACCGCACCCTGGTACCCGAACGTCTTCTCTTCCGGCACCACCTTCACGTTCACGGAACGTCCCGCAAAACGGTGTTAAGAGGAGTGTGCATCACTTGCGCTGGCAGATGCGTGCGCAGGAACGTCTAGACAGAGCTGGAATGCCGTTTTCTTTAGTCGTTCGGGACGGCTCCTTCCACGCCGTGCGGTACGGCAACGGCTTGCGCAGGTGTTTAATCTGCTTGCCTCCACTGTTGATGCAGCGGTTGCTGCAGCCGCGGGTGTCGTCCGTGCAAAAGTGCTTTCGGGGGAAAGGGTCGTTCATGGTTGTGACGTCACCCTGACAAGTAACGCTACCAAACTTCTGTACCACGACACGTTAAGCTTGTACAGACGCGCGGAAACAGGAAGGGCCACCCAAAATCAGTCGTCATGGAGGTATAACAATATCAAAACCCGCGTCGCCTCACCCTGTGCATGTACACCACCTCGAGCTTCCCTGGGTAGCACTTGGCCATCATCTCCGCCGCCCTGACGTCTCCCTGCCCGTTGTCCCCCAGGAATACGTGCTTGAACTCCGGGTACAGGCTGACATACTCGGCAAAGTTCTTCCCACAAATGCAGCAGCGACAGGGGGGGGGACCAACAAGTGGCAAGAAGCGGCAAGCAACAGCAATAAGGATGCACGCTACACAAAACACACAACGCAAAAATACGCGCGCACACACACGCACGCACTGTCAGCGGAGCCCGCGGGTTCGAAACAGTGATGTTACCACCAACGATGAATCATTTTTGTCCCGGTTTCAGATTTGACCCATCTTCAGCTGTCTTGTCAGCCTTTCGAATGCAGCGCAACAGTGATGTTACTACCAACGATGAATCATTTTTGTCCCGGTTTCAGATTTGACCCATCTTCAGCTGTCTTGTCAGCCTTTCGAATGCAGCGCAACAGTGATGTTACTACCAACGATGAATCATTTTTGTCCCGGTTTCAGATTTGACCCATCTTCAGCTGTCTTGTCAGCCTTTCGAATGCAGCGCGGTCGACTACAATCAAAGAACAACCTTCGTTGATGCATACCTGGAACTTCTTCTCAGCCACGGGCTCCATGTTCCCCGTCAGCAGCATGGTCGTCCCGGTGTCGATACTCCCCGCGAGTAGCGTGGGACTCGTGTACAGACCCTTCTCGTCCTACGATCACAGCCAACACCAAGCGCGAAGAAGCGTTGCAGCAGGGAAGCATGCGCGAAACAAAAACGAGAAGCCACCAGCGCTAAATAGCAGCACTTCACGTCGCTTGACTACACGCGTTGCCATTGGCGAGTCGATTCAGCGCGGTGGACGACACCTGAAGGAGGCACGTGTTCGTACACAATACAATATGGGTCTATCCATGGCACATGCGGCAGCAGATGCAAGAACCAAGCAAACGAAACCGATACACGAAAACCGAATCAAGCCTCGCCATTCCCACAGATAAAAGAGGACAGACGCACCAACCTTGCACCCCCCGCTACCGCCACCGAAGCCGCTCGATCAAATCCGAAACAATAACGAGGCGTCGTGTTCTACGTAGAACCTGTGCGACCCAAGAAACGTAACGGGTATATCATCGCATCGCGACACATCCAACACACACAGCAATTATGTACCTGAAGCTTCTTAAACTTGGCATAGCTCTTCGACTCCGACATGTCCTTGTACACGTGCGGCCTCGCGGACAAGAACACCAGGTTTCCTAGCTGGTAGGCGGGATGCGGAGGGGGGGCGGGAGTGCCTGGGAAGATACGCCGATATATAACTGCTGTTGATCATTTCACCTCCTTCGTTTTTATCTGTTTTTTTCACATCGATAACGAATACACACGAGAAAAATCTTCAAGAAGCAAAGCAAGGTGCGAAAAAAATTAAGAAATCACGAGCTTTTTTCGTTGAGCTTTTTTCGTTCTCTCCATCGAAAATTATTAATAGTTCGGACTTTTGTAATTGTGACAATCAAGCTCTGACCAAACCAAGCAACATCTGATGAAAACATGAAGAGAAAAGATACATTTTCATTTTTACAACATCGAAGGAGGGCAACAAAGGGTGAAATGTAGCTTTGTACGAACGAGAGCTTTTCAAGCAGTTTGTGCCGGTCACAGGCTACTCGGGTGCATGATGTGGGTTTCCCTTTCGCCGTCGACTAGCCTTGGTGAGGCACTGCTGTAGCCCGAAATGCAACGATCTTATTTTACAAAACTCTTGTGGGCTCGACAGGGTGAAACCGCACGTGTCGCGGGAAAGAAAGTCTGCCCAGGCCTACACTAGAACTTCACATAACAGCAGTGTCGATGCATTTCGTGCTATAATACAGTACTGACTTGGCCCCGCAAGCGTGAGCGCTAAACCATAAAATCGCACACGTTCTCATTGTTATAGTGCCAGACGGGCACTAATGAGGGATTGGCTAGCCCTCAACAGTGCCGTTTTGGCATTATTCGCAACAGCGCCGGGTGCCCGGTTTAGCGCCGGTGAAATCTCTCGACACATACAGGCACCATAGAGGTCCCTCGACTGTACCAACTTCGACTCTTGGCTGGACAAAAAGGAAAAGCCAGCCACGCACATCCAGCACGCACGGCACCTCTGTCCAAACCTTGACGCTCGCCGACAACACACCTTCCAGCAAAAACGAATACGCCTTCACCTCATGGCAACACCCCCCCCCCCCCCCCCCCCCCCCCCCCCCCCCCCCCCCCCCNGCCCTGCGGCCATTCGCTCGGCCCGTTGGCGCCCAAGTCCAGCTCTCGGTAAAAGTCTAGGACGCCAGGGTAGACGCTCTTGCGGGGATACCGCGCGTCCACACCCGCCGGGAAACGCCCCCCTACGAGAATGCCAACAAGAACAAACATACGCGGACTCGCCAGTACGAACATGTGTGTACTGCGCGAAAACTGGTTGGGCAAGGAAGGGCGTTTAAAAATACGGCCGCGTGCGCTACCTATTCATGTTGAGGACCAGAAGTAAGTGAATCCAGAGAGCAATACCCTACGGGGATTACAGAAGTCAAGCCCCCTCCCCCCATCTCTTCCAATGTCTGTGTGTCTGTCTCTGTCTCTGTTTGTGTCAGTCGCTGTCTCAGCTTCTCTCCTCTCGCTCTCACACACACACACATGTATACCCAAAAGGCTTTAGTGCAAAACATAAAAATGAACAAGAGGCAAGAGGTAACAAGCTCCACCAAAGGATTCAGAGTATCTTCTGCATACGTCCGCGGCGTCGTCTACACGGCACACAAAACCAACGCACACCGTCCTCTGTGCATGCACCATACGACCTCAATCCCCACCGAAACACCAACAACAACCGTAGGGGTGCGGGTTGACGGTGAAGTGCAGCAAACTGCAACAAGCACATACTTCCATGAATCATGCACCAAGAGTAGAAACGCTTACCTGATGAGGTCAACGTGTCGTCGACGTCGGAGAGGATCTTGCGCCACGCCTTCCCGCTGCGCCTGCTCCCCGTGCGGGTCCCGAGTCGCATGTGCGCCGCCTGCACCTTGGCCTGGTTGGCGATGTGCTTCAGCACCTGGCTCGCGACAAAACGTCTATTCTTGATATCGCTGACGGCGATTTTAGTTTCCGACATCCTCCTTCGGGCGGAACAAAACATTTTCCCAGTTGATTTCGTCACATGACAATATGCCGTACGTAGACTTCACGACACGCGCCATTAATAAGTTCTTTGACCGTTATCATGGAGCTTGAGCGGCCCGAAGTTGTGCTTGTTGTTGTTGTTGTTGTTGTTGTTGTTGTTGTTACTCTGAAGCTGTCGGCATTTACAGCGGCAGCGATTCGCACGACTCCAGCCGCAAAGCTCTATTGTCGATTGGGAAATCCGGGTCAACTGTGAACTGCACTGTTCCCATCGTCAGTTACGCCGCTATCGTCACGTCTTGACATCCCGACATAGAGCGCGCCAGCACGCACGGGTAAAGGATTACAACCTCCGGTCGTCACCCAGACGTCGAATCAACCCCTGGAAATAGCTCCGGAGGACAACCGTGGCACACGAAACGACCGCACACTTCCCCACCGCCGTGTTGATGTGCGCGCACACTGTTTCCATAGCTGATGACATTCGCGCAACTCTGCCAACACCACGCTTGCACGAATGCCGTTGGTTGAGTCGATCGACGTCGTTCGCACCTCCTCTCTGACAGCCACGTCCTTGATGTCGCGATAGACGAGCTTGTGTATGGAGTGGATGTCGCCCTTCGCGTCGGTTAGGCTCTTCAGCTCCGACAAGTCGTCTCCTTTCGTCTTCAAGATGATTTTCTTCGCGTACGTCTCGCTAAACACGTGGAAGGAAAGTATTAACACGGCAGTACGGCGAGGCACGGGGAGTTAGCGTCTGGGACCCCGGATGACCGGCGAGCTTTGTGGCGAGAGTGGTAGGTGCGTCGACACTCACGCAAGGAATCGCCGAGGTTCATTCCGCCGCATACCGCCGTAAGAGTACAACAACGACAAAATCGAAACCATCAAACACACGGAGCCGAAAAAACAAAAAAACACACACACCTTGCAAAGAACAACAACGACAAAATCGAAACCATTAAACACACGGGAGGCAAAAGAAAGATACAAAACGCATCTAAAGCAAAGAACAACCATAACGACAACAACGAAACTATCGTTTACACGGAAGCAAACAAGGCTCACCTGTCTTTGTGAGCAGAAAGCTTTAGCTGCTGGAGAGCGTCGAGCACGAGAGCTCGCGATGTCACGTTAAGGTCCTGCACAGCAGTACATGCACAAACAGTTACAGTTTCATTCGCGGAGGCCAATGGGGGGGTGCGGCAGCGAGTCGGTGTCTTGCAGGGGGTCCCAGCGGAAAACCTTCGGTACATGCGGAACGCGCACTCCGTGAGAGCCTCAAAAACGAACTCCTCTATTGAGCACCCAGCCTTCATCGCGGCTTTCGTAGAAAATTTTGCATCGTACAAGGCGATACGAAGGCGCACCTCTCACTGCTGTGTGGGAAAGGTCAGACACCGGGAAGCATTCACGAACCGTGGAGTCATTCCCTTCTACCCCTATCCTCCTCACCGATACTTCGAGGCACCAACCACCGACATTCGAAAATATAGCCAGGATCCCTCCCCCACCAAGCAGTCAAACCTATCCCCCCCCTCCCCCCCCTCCGGTGCTACGAAAACGCGTCTCACCGATATGCGGTTGTCGGCGAGCACGTTGAGCAGTCTCGTCCTGTGCAGGTTGATTGGCGCGTGGTCCTTGACCTTGTAGAACAGTAGGCCTAGCCCGATCTTGGGCAGCATGTAGTTCAGCTCCGACGGGTCTGCATCGCTGAGAATGTTCACGATCTCCTTCTCCAAGTTTTGCACCTGTGGGTGAGAAAAAAAAAACGAATGATTCGTTTCAAAAGAAACGGTTTTGACGCCTCCAGGCCAAAACCGCAATCACTCTGTCAGCATCAGGTCGGGACTAGCATGCTCGACGAAGCAGAGTTTGTTGCATTGCAACTATCTCAGACAGAGGAGCGGCATACGCCTTCGAGAGGGCTTCGGGTGAGTTTGGGGGTGTACAACCTCGCAACACTCTCAGGGGCCGATCGGACGGTAAACTCGTCACAATACCCGTAGGTGGCAACGAATACGCCAATTCCTCCTGGACACCCGCATGCATGCAGCTCGTCCAAATGGGTCTGGCTTCCCGAAACACGTGGTGCTGCCCTATGTAGGTCAGATCAGGAAGTCCCACACAGCTCGCACAGACAAAAGCCTACTTAGCTCACCATATCCGCCCAGAGCATGTGGTTGAGGTTGGTTGCCACGAGCCGGTTGTCGAGCTTGCTGAGGCACAGGGAGATGCGCCGGCACTTATCCTGAACGCTGCTGTGAAGCATAGTGCTGCTTTCCACCGATGGCCGAAAGTTAGGCGCACGCCCGATTCTCGACCGGTGGAGCTGGGAACCCGAACGAGCACGCCGAGGGCGGCGGGTGTGAGCAGAGGAGGGACAGGGCCCGCCGAGGGGCCGCGAAGCCCGGACGGAAGGGTAATCGGCGGGGACCCAAGCGCCGCTGTCCGACACGCTTGCGAGGCTTCGCCCAACGCCCAACTCCAATGAACGGATCTCATCGTGCTATGAGTTTACCCTTCCCATCTACCCCTCCTCTCCTCGTCTGCCTGTATCTGTCTCTCTAGGTCCCGTCTCTCCCTCAGTTTCCCTCTCGGCGGAGGACACACACACACACACACACACACACCTGTCGATCGTAGCTGTGCACCGAGAAGGTGAACATCATGACGAAAAGGAACCCCAGCACGGGGGACCATTGCCCCAAGGCCACGGGACTGTCATGAACGAACACCAACGCCCCCGAGAAGCAAAACGCCACCGTAGTCCAGAACCGGTTCTCGTGTTCCTAAAAGAGCACCACGCAGGAACAATACCAAAACAAGGGCGCGAGAGCAGCGTGTAGACAAGGACTTTGTACAGATTGAAACGCATTCGTTCGGGAAAGTGACATCGACTTGGATTTCACAGCATGTTAGGCACCGAAATCACTCGAAACATGAAGCATGGTTGCGCCAGGTACAAAACTGCAATATTTACCGTCTGCTCCTTTAAGAGAGGATTACCTGAAATATCATCGTTCAGAACCGATCCTCGGTACCACAGCTCGATGAATTGAAAGTCGCATGCCAATGTGTAGTTGTTGCGCGAGGGTTATCCAATTCAGTCGTCCCCGCTGAGAGAAAAGCGGTGACGCTCCCTACCCCCTATCGACGACCAAGCTATATAGACAAAACCGCAACGCTCCTTTCGTCCACGCGTTTGGCGCTCGACACAGCAGCACAATTTACCAAAACCTTACCGCTTCGATACCAACACATACAAGTACCAACATCCGAAACCCTCCAGCTCAAGCACCAGCGGCGGCTTGGCTCTCGGCTACGTCCCACACGTCCCACACGTGAGAAACCAGCAGCAAAATACGACGACAGCAACGCACCTGCGCGTGGTGCATGTAGGAGGTGTCTTCCCGTGAGACATACCACCACACCACGTACGTCATCAGCCCCAGCACGATCACGAGCACGGGTGCAACCGCCAGCGCCGCGAAGATCAGGAGCAGCACGCCGACCAGGCCCACAACCAGCGCCACAAGCAGCCCATGCCGTGGGTCCTCGCCCATAGGCATTGTTTAGATTCAAGGACTGAGGGACGCCCCGCTTCGGTCTGCGGTGTGCGTGCCCCCCTTTGTTCGGAGCAAGGAGAATAATTGCGTTAATGTTCAGCGCGCCTCCCTCCAACCGCGCCTTGAAAAGTTTTACAGAAAATTCCGGCCAAGTTGTCCCGCTTTCAATCCTCCATTGGGGCGTTGAACACCTGCGTCGGTGGATGCAGAGAAAGCAGCAGGCGGGTTACTGAATCGACACGCAACGAAGAGCGAGGGATAGCTGTACCTCACATGCAGCTCCCGGATGTGCAGCAGCTCATTGTCAATCAAATTATTGATTAGTCTAGAGCTGCAGCCGAAGCCGCAGAAACCCAAACACGATGCGAAGTCGAGGCTGTGTTTTTTTTTTTCTCCCATCATCGGATTCTGTCGTCTGCCCCTCTGGCCCCTATCCTCCACTTCTACTCGCTTCCTTTCTTCCCCTCGCTGCCTCTGCAAGGTTTTGCGTAGGCATGACCCATAGCGAGGGGGGGGGTCTTTCTAGCGAGCAGGGCTGGACTCACCCTCAGGGGACCGATACCTTCTTGCTGCGGCGCACCCGCCGCGAGGCGTGCGTAGTGGTGGAGTTGGGTCGGCACTGGTGCGTCAGGTACAAAGGTGCAGATGCGCGGGTCTCCAGGCCGTCGGTGTAGGCAGCAATGCCCATCTCAGCTTTGTGCGCGGAGGCAGACGTCATCAGAAAGGTGGACGGGCACTATGTACAAGGCCCTAGGTTTGCTAGAGGGAGCTGTACTGTCTCAGTAACCTGGTTTTGCCGTCAAAGGAGGAGGGGACAGGTGGTGACGAGCTGATTGGGCTGGTTGACCCTTCGGCGCGAGAATCTTCAGACCGAGAACCCTAAGTGCAACGAGGGAGAAAGCGAGGAACCGACTGGGAAGGACAGCAACGAGAGCGTGTACGAAGCGGAGCGGGTCGAGTTTGGTCGTGCTAGGACTGGCCACAGCGGCACCGGAGCAGCGGCACCGGAGCAGCGGAACCGGAGCAGGCGGACGGCATCGAACCGTGGCGCACGGACAAACATCTCTTGCATTGTCAATTATTTTTCCGTTTTTTTTCCTGAATACAGGTGTTGGGTGTGTGTGATGTGTGATGACGTCACTGGTTTTGTAGAGAGACACGGCAGAGATGGCGCGGATAACCCGGGTACCTTAATTGTGTACCTGCATCGTGGAAGACCCCTTCAATGTGGAACGATTCCCAGTCAGTGTCGATATTTACACTGCTGTGCCTAACAAAGATGATCTGGATAGATTCGGGTGATTGTCAATTTCAATGATGGCTTTGATTGGGCGTTCTTCTGCATTGTATGTCCACGGGCTCATTCTGACAGCACTTCAGACAGCAGCTGCATGCCCCGAGCTTGTGTACCATGCATCATGGTGTTATTATTGTACAGACAGCACTTCAGACAGCAGTACGCTGTAGTCGACAAACATTCTTTTTGGTTAAATGCGAGGCAAGGGGGGTGATGCTGCTGCTGTAGTCGATTTGTAGTGTGTGGGCGTGTAGTTCAGTTGTGAGCACGCAAACGTGCTGCAGGGATTGCAGGTGTACCTCCTCGGGCTTGCGTACCCTTTCCTTGCTAGTAGTGTGTGTGTCCTTTAGATCTTCTGATGGCTCTAGCATTTTTGTGACCACGGACCGAGTCTTTGCTAGATTTTGGGATTAGCAACTGACACGAGTTTAATGTGAAGAAAACAACAACAACTAGCTAGACGACCCAACCGGGGTCACATCGGAGGGGGGGGTTGGACCCCCTCCTGCGGTTCCTGCCTGAGGTATCCCGGGAAGGGTACAGCAATCCCTTCCCTCGCGACTTACGAAGTCGATTATGGTTTATTAACAATGAGCTTTCCAACGCGTCGCTTTCATCCTAGACCAGGATTTATTTAGTTAGAAAAAACTCACTCTGCCGAGACTCGAACCTTTGACCTGGCCCTTAGCAGGCTGCGAGGTTACCCACTAGGCCACCGGGGCGACCGTGTGCGGGCTCGAGAAAACGTTGGTTGCCCAATGAGAGCCTCAACGTTCAATATTCGACCAAGCATGAACATGTGTAGACTTAAATAGACTCGAAATAAGTCCAGTACCCAGCCGGTTTTCCTCCACTCACTGAAAAGACTTTACATCCCGTTCGAATGTGGGTGTATCTCGAACGGGTAAAATAGTCTTTCTGTGTGTGTATTTATTTTTCCCAATGTCAATGTGTTGAAGGAAACGTTGGTTTGCCCACTCAGAGCCGCAATATTCAATATTCGACCAAGCAGGAACATGTCAATGGTTATAGGTTGCTGGTCGGCGGCCATTAACTCCTTTATTATTCTTCCCACTATAAACGGGTATTCATTTATTTCCACCACAGCACGGTGAGCGTGTTCTGCAATCAGAAAATAAAGTGCATTTCGTCTTGCTTTCACGTACAGTAGAGGTCCCTGTTTAATGCCAGGGTGTGCGCAAAAATTTCGCCGGCACTATACCGGGCACCGGCACTATTAAAAGTACAGAACAGATATTCCAGTGTGTCGAGCCGAAAACACCGGCAATATACCGGCAACCGGCACTATTCAACCGGCACTAAACAGGGACCTCTATTACTGCTGTGGTAGTAAAAGGTGCAAGAGAGGTGCCGCTTCACATCACAATACCTGTGCGAAGCTTACATGTAGACTCCACGCGCGGACCCACACCATGTGTTTCCTAGGGGAAGAATAGGGCACCAACACCATAGCTTGGCCATCTTACCGTACACTGCCCCCTCAAAGTAGCAATTCTGCGCTCTGTATGCCTCCGATTCGCTACAAGCACCGGGCACCAAAATAGCACAGCACACAGCGCGACATCTGCTGATGTCGACTCAGAGTACGTAAGCGTGCATCGCCTGCAAACAAACGCGAGAGAATCATCACAAAAAAGGGCGGCGACACTGTACTTCCCGCCTCACCAAACACGCACACATAACGAAATCAATGGTGCACCCGACCACCCGCAAGTGGAGACACGGCTCACCCGCGGACTGCTGGTGATGCCCAGGATCCTTTTCAGGTCCAGCAGCGATGACAGATGTTGCTCTTCAGCCTTTCTCTCTCAATCTACCTCTCGCGCTGTTGTGTCTTTTCGTCTTTTCCTCTCGATACCTTCCGCAGCAGTAAATTGGCACAGCCTTCGTACCAGACCCCCCCCCCCCCCCCCCNCCCCCCCCCTTGCAGTAGAGAGTAGCAAATCAATGTAAAGGACGTCAAGCGCCAACTACTCCTAGAGTAGGTAGTGCCAGCGGCTGCAACAAGTTGACGTGTGTGGCGCGTCCGCCAGAGGCACGCTGAAGTGGACGAGCACGCATCCCATCACTCGTTTGCTGACCCAGATGCGGAGCCCCCGGCCGAGCCGTGAATGTCCACAGTAGTAGACACCTGTCTTGGCTACGGGAGACTGCCACAAGCCATCTTGCTTACGGACACGCGACCATCCACCCAATCCGATTATTCGTGAAAGGGCGTGCCGCACGGCTGGTTAGTGGGGTTCATCGGCGGCACACTGCCGACAAGTGAGACGCATCTCGGTCCGGCAAGCCGGGGAAAGCAAAATGAGCGGAATCGCTGAGGCGAGGTTGCGGGAGGAGCGAAAGGCTTGGCGCAGGGACCACCCCGTTGTGAGTATAGTACTGCGCTGTGGTCGCTGCTACCCATGGTTGCGTCTACGCTATCCAAAGATGAAGCCATGTCTATCCATCTCTTTGGCTCTCTCCATCGGTGTGCGTTTCTCGGGGGGGTACACGTGATGAACGAATTTGCGTTTTTTGAAAAATGGGCGAGAAACGGCGGCAAGCGGCCCGAGCCGCGACTGCGTCGTGATATGTAACGCGTAGTGTCGTTGATCCGCGTGCTGGTTTCCAAACACCACTTGGAGCGTCCTGCCATACAGAAACGGCACTTTCAAGAGTCATGGTGTTGGTGCTTTCAGGAGAATCTTGGTTTTACTTTCGATTTCGGTCCTGCGGGACAGCCCCCGATTCCTCAACAAGGAGCTGAATAATTCGCCGCCAACAAGAAGTCAGTCGTCCGGACTCATCCTGCTTCAACAGCACCGCCGACTGTTGTCTTTGGAGACTACCGCGTTCGCTGCCTGTGTGCAGAGAGCTGCCGTATCCGACGTTGGTAACAATCCTGAGAGGTGCTGCACCTTGTCCCGAGCTTTGTGTCTGTGATGGACTTGCGTATTGTGCCGTAGGTCGCGTGAGATTCCAATCCTCCCCTGCTTACAGCGCGATTTTGTACTCCGCCACGACGAGCGGATGGCACAACATCACAAATGGAAGTTTTTGGAAGCTCCCTCGAAGAGTCTCGAAGAGACAGGTCCAACGCTACCATTTTTCGATACCCGTGGATGATACTCAACAAGGTCCGGACGGGGTTATAGCCCCCCCGCGTTCTCTCAGAGTAGGTTAGGGTGGGATCACATCTTGTACCGTTGGTAAGTGGGCCTGCAAACCACGTGAAACTCACTAAGTGACTAATGTGTGCTCTCGGAACCCTGACAGAGTTTTGTTTTGAGACTGAAGAGGAGGCATTGCACTGTAACGATGGCGGAAACCCGTTTGTGTGTTACAGCTGCGTTCCCATTCCGAGCAGTGTATGGCGGATCGTGTGGTAGATGCGTTCATACAAGGTACATATATACAGTATACACCACTACAGGAGAAGAATCATGCAGGTTCGCAGGTCGAAGTTGCAATATGAGTGAAACGATGGTCATGGTGCGAAAAAAAATACTGTGGCTACGGAGCAGAAGTAATTGTTCAAGGCTGTTGCGTTTAACCCCGGGGCACATGCAGTCACAAGACGTTGCGACTATGTGTTTGCCAGTGCCCGTTCTGCGCGTAACTCTGCTTATACTAAAGCTGTGGGACTGAAAATTTTACTGCTCCAACATCAATACATTTCCCACAGAATGATGGAGGATTGCTGTGTGCGAAGAGCCATTTTTTTGTTGTCGGAATGCGGCAAGTTGTCCTTTCTTCGCAATTCCGAAAGAGACAGAGGTTCGCCCGCTTGCCCGCACGCACATTTGCACATGGTGCCGCACGGTTTTGTTCCGGTCAGTCTACAACACACAATCCATAGCGCGCACGTATGTACCATGCCTTGCACGACTATGTGGGTTGTGATGACGCGTATTCTTTTCGCGACATGTAATTCCGCGAAGCCGGTTCTTCGTAAGGTCGGAATGAAAGTGTCATCCAAGAGGAGGCCAAAGTCTTGAGCAAAAGAGGGTGACAGTCTCGCGGAGTTTCTGCGGATACCGGTGCGAACAAGGGCGTCCGCAGCGCCCTTGATGGTGGCGGAAGAAATGTGGGCGGAGCAATGTGCAAAGGCGGAGTCGACTCCCTATTTCGCCACCATTATGTACCGTATCGTTGAACAGAGTGGGGTCTCTGTCGGAAGTGAAAACGTGGGTGGCAAATGAGTTGTCTCGGAAATATTCGTTTGGAGTACTCCGTACGCGTGTTCTTGGTGGTTTCGGGAACCCTGGATGATTTTCTGTTTACCCTGCCGCCCCGCCGTGTATTCGCTGTCCGTCCGGCGTGCATGCTGCGTGCCACGCCCGCTTTCGGTGGCCGACGTTCGCGCAGGGGTTTCACGCGAAGCCCATGCTCAAGGATGACAGCTCTACAGACCTCCTGCGTTGGGAGTGCGGCCTACCTGGCCCGGTAAGCTAAAATTCATAATTCGAAGTACGTTGTAACGAATATCACACGCTCACGTTCCTTCCTCCACATCGAGTGCCGTTATTTCAGGGCTTTTCTCACGGCACATCAGTCAAATCGGAGACATTTCACAGTTGGGGACTACTCGGGATACGTCCAACCTGGTGTTGCTTACAAGGTATCACATGTAGTCGGGGCCCCCGGTCATGTTGGAGCGCTGGAAGCAAGTACACACCTGTGGCCTTCGTTCCGTCGACATTTCCCCCCTTGCTTGGTTCCCCCCCTTCTCGAACAGGCGGACACCGATTGGGCCGGAGGTCTGTATACCGTGACAATGGAGTTTACTGAGGACTACCCTTCCAAGGTTAGTCATCGACTTGAGCTTTTGTGCTCTCTTTGATCGTCGTTATTTTGCCGTTTCCACCCTGAATCTCGCGCAAAATACTCAACCCTTAAGTCCCGTTGCCCCCCAAAGGCTCCGCAACGGTGCCGTGACGGTTTGCAACCCGCCCAGAAGAGGCTGGTGCTTTTCGTTGGTCACCGAGGGCATTGCGCTATTCACGTCGAAGTCCTGATGTCTGGTTTGCGGTCATCTCAGTATTCCGAAGTCGTCCTTATGTGCATCTGGTCAGCTCCTACAACTCGGGTCCCTCCTGTCGGGGAAGAAGTTCAGACGGTGGAAACCATGCCTCGTAGATTAGTACTGCGAGGAGCACGCCACTGTCTTGGGTGGCTCAAGTAGAAATCGAGCACGCGCTCCGACTCGACCGGCGTGCGATTACTTGGTCATGCCCCAAGAAAGCAACAGTTGGGCAGATCTTTTTTTTTGTTCTTCCATGGACAGGGTCCCTGGAGCACGGGCGTATTGCTCAACATCCTTCCCGTTCCCCCACCCATGCGTCTTTCGTGCATACCTTCGGTCGGACCTTGTATCTTTCACTTCTCTCAGCCGCCAAAGTGCAAGTTTGTCCCTCCGCTTTTCCACCCCAACGTCTACCCATCGGGAACAATCTGCCTGAGGTGAGCACCACACGAAGTCAACGCCATCGATCTGGGCGAGGCGTGCAAGACGCATATTTCCTGTCCATCGTTTTTTGACGATGCATCGCGCTTCGAAAGAGGCCTAGAGGTGGGTTGCGGCCATCGCCACCAAAGCAGGCTGAACAGACCTTTTTGATTCGTTGCAAATGTATTCTGATTGCAATTTTTTTGTTGTCTACGCACAAAGAAGAGGGTTCTCATATCTCCATCTCCTCCATCTTTGCCTTGTACTTGATGACCAGCGGGACGAATTGGTGTTTCGAGGTCACAGGCTAGCCGAAAGCCGAGAAAGCACGACGAAAGAACTCCCCAAGAAGCCTTGCGACTTGCAACCTTTTTTGTTTTCGATCCCCCCGTTGCAAGATGGGCTCGTGACTCATGTTGGCATCGCTTTGCGTCGCGTGCTGTTCCGCGTCCTGTCCGTTTGCCACGTTTGGTGGGTGCTTCCAGCATTCTGGACGAGGACGAAGGGTGGAGGCCAGCCATCACGATCAAGCAGATGCTCTTGGGTATCCACGACCTATTCGACACCCCCAATCCCAACAGCCCGGCCCAGTCAGAGGCCTACCAGCTGTTCGTGTGAGTATCAGACTAGCACTTCATGTCGTTGCGGTTCAAGTCCGAGGTCATTGGGTCGCACCCACAAAGCAGTTGTCCTCTTCTCGCGCGTACGCACAGTACACGTTTGGTTTTTCAGGGGTGGACGGCGTTATTTCTGACTGGGGGGCGATACCGCCGTCTTCGATATTTCATCGCAAGTGCTCCCTGTTGGCCCAGAAGCGTGACGACTGACGGGAAATCACGTCGCTCCGGGGCTGATCCACCAGAGATAGATCTATTCGTTGGCCAATCTCACCACGGTGCACGTACATGTTGACTGCGGGGCAGTGGCTCTGTCCGTTCTTTGTAACGTCTGCTCCATACTGACATCGCCACACATTGATACCCTTTTTCCCCCTTCATGGCTTGGTGGGCGACAGGACCAACAAAGAAGAGTACAGGCGACGCGTACGTCTTGAAGCCCAGAAAAATATACCGTCCACTTGACCCCGCCTTGACCGGCTTGGTTCGGGAGAGGTGGTCCCGTTTTTCGCAAAGGCCATTGTTCGTTGGTTGCGGTCAGGGGGCATTGGCAAGCGTGCTCAGGGATCACCGTGTGCCCAGGCTCTTGTTGGGCAAGCGTGGAGCCTGCAAGGACAGAGTGCACTTCGTCCTGTCGGTCGTTTGGTGCGGGGGAACTGGATTATTGGAAAATCATGCCCCCTCTGAAGTGTCTTAAGAGACCGCTTCAATCTTCGTAACTGTTTCCTTGCTCGTTGTGTCGGGCATTTCCCGATGCAGGGCAAGGGTTTTTTGGGCATGGACCAGGTCAAGCTCAGCCCGTTGTATGTAGCAAGGTCAAGAGGGAGAAGGCTAACCCTCGCCGTCTTTATGGAGTGCTCTCATACATGCGGGTGTGTTTCGGGTTTTCATGTGCCGGTTTCTGTTCCCCCTGTGGCGGTGGTATGTGGTGGCTGCGGCGTTCACCAGTTTGTGCTGCTGTACGACGCTGGGGGTAGCGGGCGAAATGAACAGTACCCAGATGGCATGGCGTTCGATGGTACACCTGACCGATGTTACATGGTTTCACGGTAGTGAATTGCAGTTCTTATTTTTTGTTTGTAGTTGACTTGGACGAGTGCTCACTGTTCGGATGGCGCCAAGTTTGCATGTACACGAGCTACGCCCCGGCTTTTGTGCTGCACAAGGCGATTAAGTGAATCGTCACTACCTCTTTTTTTTCTCGGAAAGTGTTCACTTCACGGGAGTGGCCGCGCTACCGGTCTACTATTCCCCCAGACATGCGAATGTGCGCTCCGACAATGCGGTATCTGATGCAGAACAGAATCCGCGTTGGCGTGAGTTTCACGATGTCACTCACCATACTCCTAGTGGATCGCTGACGTATCCTCTGGGAACATGTACGAGTACCTCACGTCGGATTACGGAGTCAGGGAAACTGAAAACAACGACCGCACGACTTTGCGCGAGAACCCGCTGGCATGTCGATCGAGAAAAAGAAAAAGACGTACCCATTTCTTGGCACAGAAGCCTCTTGTGGAGGACAACATCGTGCTTTTATGACGGAATCTGTGGGATTGAGAAAAGTGTAAGCCGTCCTTTTTCGTATAAGGGCAATCCTCCATGAAGAGTCCATACTCTCCATGAAGAGTCCATATTCTCCATGAAGAATCCATCCTCGAACGAGCTTCGTCACAACGTGCTCTGTGTGTGTCTGAGTACCCTCTGCAAGCCCTCCGCGTCCTTTGGTCCATCGGTGGGTGTGTTTACTCATGTCTCCGTTTCACTTCTTTCATGTGTCCTTTGCTGGACACCCCGAACGTTGGGTCCACTTGGTCACTTGTTGCCGTCACATTTAAATAGTTCCGCTGGCTCTCATTGACCTTCCGTTAAAGCGAGCCAAGACGTCTTCGAGTTTCGATTGTGAGCCTCACCTCATCCTATTGAACGGTCCCATGTGGCAATTTTCTTTCATAGCTGAATATTCAATCAGGCAATTCGTTCAGGCTCAAAACCCGCTGGCGCTTGCCGTGAAATTGACGTTCTCAGGCTCTCCGGACGACAGACGAGGGGCGGGGGTCCGACAAACCGACACCACTCCTCCGCCTCCTCTGGAGAGAACACAGTAGCTCGAAGTATCCGTCCAATCGCCACACCAACCTCGTCGTACTTCTCCGTCTCCACATCCATCGGTCACGTCTTGGCCACCCACCCCATTGGTGGGGCAGCCTTTGCCCCTATAGTAGCATCCATTGTTTGCGAAATCGAATTCGCGGACAAGAGCAATGGATACAAGGACGACTTGTTTAATCGTTTTGGTCTCGATGTGGCCCATTATCGGAATGTGCAACAGTAGTAGGTCGAGTGGAATATCATGTTACCTATATACTCACAGGATGTCGTCGCCAGACATAAAGACTAGTCTATATTTTTGGCATCAGAAATTTGTTTTATTGTACACCGAAGTTGGGATGATATCTTTTGCGCAAATGCTAGAAACATTTACGACACCGGTGTCATAAATATTGTTGCGACACCGCACAAAAAGCTTCGAAACAATGTCCTCTGTGTTCCTACGGCTCGCAGTCGCGCAAGCCTTCGCTCTTCCCATAGTGACCGATGGTTGCCGAGATATGGCCTAAAACGATGTCACGGTACCACCTTCGCGGTCTCCTAATTAGCCTTACTTACGACACCGCCAAAAACTTTCCGAAAACACCTTAAACAGGCGCGCAACCACCTTTGCTGTATTTCCACGGCCCTCACCTGTCATGCAAGCCATCATTCGGCCAACACAAACGCGTGGTTCCCGAGATCCGCCCAAGAATGTGGCCGCAGCACCACCTCGCCGGTGTCGTAATTAGCATTATTTGCGACACTTCACGAAACTTTCCCAGAACACGCCCAATGGGCACAGCACAAGTTTTCTATTCCCGCATCCACCAGCTGTCGCGCAAGCCATCATTCGGCGGAAACGAAGATGTGGTTCCCGAGATACACCCAAGAATGTGACCAGAGCGCCATCTCGCCGGTGTCGTAATTAACATTATTTACGACACTGCGCGACACTGTCCGAGAACACATCCATTAACCACCAAACCAAGTTTGCTGTGTTCCCACGCCCACCAGCTGTCGCGCAAGCCGTTGTTTGGCCGAAACGAACATATGGTTCCCGAGATAGATGTGGTTGCCGCTATACATGTAGACCTACATCACCTGTGGGTCCGCCTACTGTTGACCTAGTATATTTTATTTTATTTATTTTTGCCTTCCGACAATTGCAGATGTACCTCAGAAAACTCTCACTTAATGTCTCATACTCTACATGAATATTAAACCAGTACGAAGTACAACAACATATGTAGGACTTATTTCTACTGTCATTTACATCGTAAAAGTATCTCCTCTTCAACTTACCAATGACAATCCTGATGGTATCCTAGACTATATGCGTTCGTAAGCTTGCTAAAGTACTACTGCGTTGATGTCCGCTTGTAAAAGCTGAAATCCAACAAATGCTTTGATCCATGCTACATCTCCGTGTTGGAAAAGCCCTTTCATCTCCGTTCATGATAACATCTTACCCTATTCTACGCAAATCTGTCACATCTACTCTCAAACAAGACGTCAACTTCAAACGAAAACGCGTTCTACGATGCGTCTACACTCCATCCCCATATCATTGGCGTTGACTGGTCCGAGGTCGATCTTGTTCGCCTGTTTTCGGCGTCTTGACGCCCGCGCAATGCGAGCTTGTACCTCTGCACTCGCCGAGATATGGCCACCTGTGTAGCCACCGAAACGATCTGAAGAAGTCGTTCCTTGAAGACTCCTTTCAGAGCCATCGTTCCTCCGTCCCTTCCTCCCACGGCATGTGTCGCAAGTTCATCGATGAACTCGTAACCCTCCTCTCCAAGGCGGCCAAAGCTTTCCACGGCTAAGGTGGTAAGTTTAAAGCTGCGTTCGTCAAAGGACACGTGTCCCGGACGAGCGTAGTGCTGACGCTTTCGCGCCTCGGATGCTTGGGCTGCGATTCCATCGCTGGTCGCGCTGCCGTTCCGCAAGTGTACCTGTGCTTGCGGGTCTGCGTGTGTGACATCGAGGAGTATTCCTTTGTTGCGGTACCCCGGAGAAGATGCGTTCGTGAGGGCTCCTGGCCTGATGACGATGTCCATGCTCAGGTTTCTTTCCCCCGTGAACGGTGCCCCGCTTTCAACGTCGTGTTTGACGCGAAGGCCGTTGAGTGCTCTCGATAGTGCGTATTTTAACGGCTCGTGCATGTTGACCTGTGCTCCATCCCTTCGACAGGTCCTTGCGTGCACCGTTGTGATGATCTCGCCTTCCCTGCCTCTGTGGCACCTGGGACATCTTTCCGCCAAGAATTCTTCAACTCCCAAGGCGCGTCTCGTCGCGTAGACGAATTCGTTCGATGGAATCTCTCGAGCTCGGTCGGTGGGAGCCGCTCTCAGGAACGCGTGCCCCCCTTGCCCTTGCGAGCTTCTCGTTCGTGCGTATGCCATGTTCCTGGCCTCTTGACCTCCGTAGGGGTTGTCCCGCGTGGGTGGTACCGCCTCCTGGGGGAGGTGCTCCAGAGACTCCATGAACTTTTCAAGTTGTATCTTGTTAATCGCCTTGCCCAGTTTGTGCTGGGCTTTCCTCGGCGTAGTAGATTCCCCATCGTGTGCTGCCAGTTCTGCAACGGTGGGCTGACGCCTTCCGGTTTCTCCTGTCGGTTCTAAGGCCCACTCAACCCATGACGGGGGAAGGATCCCCTTCAGAATCTCCACCGATATTGCATGCTCCTGGTTGAGTTCTTTGATAGCGTCCCCCATCCGCTCCACCAACACGGTTCCCGGTATCCGAACTCTCACCGACTCTCCCAATGGACCCCGTAACGCGGCTATAACCGCAGGAAGGGTGCCGACTAGGTTGCCCAGAGAAGCTGAGAACCTTCGCATAACGGCTGCTGGTAATCCTAGTCCTCCGGCTCCTGTCGACAGGCGCGCCTGGGCTATTGTATACCAGGAGGAAGCCGCCAAGCAAGGGTTGTGTAAGGCGGCCGCCGCCGCAGAAGAGGCACAATCCAGAGCGAAGAAAACAAACGAAGGGCGTGGTTGTCGTGGTGTGGAGGGTAATGATACAGACTCGTGCCCGGGCGCGCGCGACCTCGGCAGGCTTTCCGGGGTGGAGAACAAAGGGTGGGAGGGTGGTGGAGGGGATCGCACGGGGGGCGCACCTGATCGGGAATGCGGCGAGGGAGAAAAATCTACGGGCGGGTCGGGAGAAGGCAAGCGGGAGAACCAGGGAGAAAAAATGCGAGAAACTCAAGGGAACCGAAGGGGAGGAAACATGGGAGAAAAAAGGCAGACAAGGGAAAATGGAAGGAAGAAAAAATGGGAGAAAAGAAGGCACACCAAAAGGGACAACACGAGGGAGAAAACAAGCCACCGTACAAAACGGGGTACAGGAAGGCAGAACAACAGGGAGAAGACAAAGGACAACAAAATGGAGAAGAAGTGGTAGCTAAAAAGGGAGACAGTGCGACAACGTGGCCGAGGAAGTTGGAATGCAGGCGGAGGGGGGAACATGTTCAAAAGAGTCGGGAGGGGTGGTATACCTGCAGCAAGTGGGGCTACGGGCCGCAACGGGTTAGCCTCACTTGCGCACGGGGTCGGGGGAATCGGGCAACCCTCAGTTTCAACTAACAAAGCGAGGAAGGAGGGCAGGGGGTGGAAAGCCAAATATCATTTGCCCAGCGCGCCCGAGGGTAACAGCGACGGAAACGTCGCAGCGAATCAACGTCAGCAAGAGCGTTCGAGCCGGAAACTGCCACGGAGGCTGCGTAAGCTTCGGAGAGCGGCGATTTGGCGGGAGCGCAAGGTAGCTTATTTTCCTCGCCTGTCACAGTTGGTGTAGGGTATTCCTCCGATACCGCCGAATCTGCTGAGAGTTTGATGGACACGGACGGCAGGAGCAAAATTTGTCAGGTCGGATTGTTTCTGTGGAGTCCATAAACTTCACCGATATCGTACCGTTTTGCCTTGGATAGTCGTGTTGGCTTCGCAGAATTTTCATATCTGATGGTTCAACAGTGCCGTGATACTGAAATACTGAAACAAGAGAGTTTTGGCTTCAAATGCGCATTGGTTCCCTCGACGAGGAAGCCTCCTCGAAACTGATGGTGAACCCGGCATTCATTGCGCAATGACGCGCCGGGATGTTATGCCCATGATTGGATCAACCAGGGGAAAAATGTGTGTCGGAGTGGCGACTCAGTGACACAGGGACTTCGGCACAGATACCCCTCAACATGGATGTCATGGCAAGAACGAAGGAGCGAAATTGTCACATAGGGTTACGGCCTGCTAAAAGAGGTCGGGACTCGTTTCACTCCGCAACTTGAGTAAACGAAAGCCCCGCACATGAACATCATCCGCAAGAATGAATAAGTGAACTTTGCGGAGATCTTAGTTCCGTGAAACTGTATTTCTTCGGTGATACCATACTTCTTTGAGATATCACAGACGTTTCGCGCAACTTTCACTCCCAATTCGACCGCCGTGTCGTGCTTCTAATAACGCAGAGTTTTGCTTCAGATGCACATTGATGCCGTCCACGAGGAAGCCTCCTCGAAACTGACAGTGAAGCGTTTTGCGCAACGACGCGAGGTTTTGCCTCTGATTCAATCGACCAAGAGAAAATGCGTGTCAGAGTCGGGACTCGGTGTGACAGGGGGACTTCCGGCACAAGCCCTCGTTATGAATCTCAGAAACAAGAATGAAGGAGTAAAACTCTCACATTGGGTTACAACAGTAAAAAGGCATGTGTTTACAATGTTGGGACTCGGTTTCACACCACAGCTGAAGCAACGAAAGCCCTGCCTATGAATTTCATCCGCGAGAATGAGTGAGTGAACGTTGCGGAGATCGTTTTGTGTGGAGGTCTGTTTTTTCCTTGGATCCATTTTCCTGTGGGATGTCAAAGAGATGAAGCACGAATTTCACTCCCAATTGACCACCGTGTCGTGCTACTGAAAAGACAGAGTTGTGTTCCAGATGCGGAGTCTGTATTCTTACCCTCCACACCACGACAACCACGCCCTCTGTTTTCTTCGCCCTGGATTGTGCCTCTTCTGCAGCGGCGGCCGCCTTACGCAGCCTTTGCTTGGCGGCTTTCCTCCTGGTTTAGAAAATACTAGGTCAACAGTGGGTGGACCCACAGGTGATGTAGGTCCACATGTATAGCGGCAACCACATCTATCTCGGGAACCATATGTTCGTTTCGGCCAAACAACGGCTTGCGCGACAGCTGGTGGGCGTTGGAACACAGCAAACTTGGTTTGGAGGCTATTGGATGTGCTCTCGGACAGCGTCGCGCGGTGTCGTAAAAATATTAGTTACGACACCGGCGAGATGGCGCTGTGGTCACATTCTTGGGTGTATCTCGGGAACCACATCTTCGTTTCCACCGAATGATGGCTTGCGCGACAGCTGGTGGTTGTGGGAATAGAGCAAAACTGGTGTTGTACCCATTGGGTGTGTTATGGGAAAGTTTCGCGAGGTGTCGCAAAAAATGCTAGTTACGACACCGGTGAGTGTTCGTGAGTCTGCGAACATTGCTGTTGGATACATGTGCTGGATGATTTAGTGTCACGCAGACTGGTAAGATAACCGTTTGATAGGGGGCACCGCGATGATTCACGGGGCCCCTCCTTGCTGTGGGAGCCGCTCTTTGAGCACTCCCTCTTTCGTCCGTGTGAAGGACGGTCGTCTACCTCCCGTGAAGTTAATACATCACCAAAACAGTCTCACCCGATAAATAAGTGGCGTAGGCCGCAAACACTCTAGAGTTT